AAATATTTGGGCTTAGTGCTTAAACCCTAAACCCTAAACCCTAAACCCTAAACCCTAAACCCTAAACCCTAAACCCTGTTGAGCGTTCACGGTTTCGAAATCTTGGGATCAGATTAGGGTTTGGGGCTCCGGGTCGCGCATCCCTCCAGTTCGGCCGCGGCGGTTGTGGTTGGAGAGATTATCGTAGTAGTAGTAGTAGTAGTAGTAGTAGTAGTAGTAGTAGTAGTAGTAGTAGTAGTAGTAGTAGTAGTAGTAGTAGTAGTGGTAGTAGTGGTAGTAGTAGTAGTAGTAGTGCGAAAGATGAGAAGAACTGTTGGTATGAACAACATTAACAACAGATTACAACAGCATACCATGCACGGCATTTCTGACAGAGCCTCTGCTACTGTGATTTCAACTTTACCGTCTGGTGATGCCATGCTTCATTGTCAGTAAATCTTTACCATGATGGCAAGCCCTAAACCCCAAATCGTCATCTTCTATATCGGGAAACTTCACTTAATGGTTGACCCGGGGTTTCAGCATCTCGGCATTGGGAAACCGCAATGAGAGGCCTTCGAAACGGACATCTGTCGGGTTTAAGGGATTAGGGTCTGAGGGTTTAGGGATGAGAACGATGTCGGAAGTAATATCACTATGCTTAGTTCTTTCGGAGAAAGCAAGAACAATGGCAAACATGCTCATTGCAGATATTCTGAAAATCTTGACTTTATCACTCTCCGCCGTAGGCCTCGCACTCAACCCCTAAACCCTGAACCACCACAAACCTTGTACTTGAGCTTTTGAGTTTAGGGTTTATGGGTCATTGAATCTTGTAAAGCCGTGGCACCTCGTTCATCATCGGAGGCTCGAGGTAAGGGCAAGAGTGGTCGGCTGGCTTGGAGAGACCAGCGCCGGGCTCATCCTGGCCGTGCACAGCTTTCCGGTTCAGGGCTCAGTATAGGGTTTAGGCTATTCACGTGCAAGCCATCAGGGTGAGGACAATACCTCCAGGATTGTATCGTCTGCGCACATACAGCTATCTGGCAATGAAAGCGTAGCTGTCGGCACATGCACAACCGGGAAGAAAGTCAGATCGATGCAGACAAAGATTCTAAGATACCTAAACCAAAAACTCATGCCTCGCTATTCAGCTTTAAACACATCTTACTGCATGCAAATACATGTACATACAGATAAAGATGAATGTGCTATAGAAAAAGATTCTCGAACACACAGATGTGCGCATGCATAAGATGTTTACGTACACGTATAGCAAATTTATACATGCCACATTCGCACATACACGCATAGGAGGGAGAGTGAGAGAAAGACAGGGAGAGAGAGAGAGAGAGAGAGAGAGAGAGAGAGACTGTGAGCGAGAGAGAGAGAGGGAGAGGGAGAGGGACAGGGAGAGGGAGAGAGGGAGGGAGGGAGCCATGGAGGCATCAGACCGGAAACGATGGAACCGTGTGCAAGGATAGGTCGATGGAAACATACGTACGTGCAGAAAAACAGACATGCAGTTGCGGAGGCATACAAACAGCTACAGACAAAAGGGCAGATAAAACGAAAGAGACACATCTGTAGGTTTCCCAGCCAAGAAAAGGACGTGTGGAGATATACATATATATATATATATATATATATATATATATATGTAAATACATAGTATATGCGTTTGCATGACCTGAACACAGACTAGCTTGTTACTGTGCTGATCTTACCTTATGCGCTGCTAGCGGCTCCGGACATGTTTCTCGGCTGCCAACTCAAACATCCCCCAAGTCACCGCTGCGCAAGCCTCCAGCACAGGCCAGGATACCAAACGACATTCAGCAGGGTTCAGTGCCTAGGGTTAAGTAGGTTGGGTTTCGTTTGATGCAGTCGCTCGGAAAGACAAGTTGCAAGTCTTTCTTGTATACGCACCTTGCAAAATAATGCAATCACCACATTCTCCAACCAAGCATGGTCGTTAAAAGTACCGGTGGCCGGCAACTCTGGGTGGGGTGCAATTTGACATTCGGCTTCCAAGAAAGGCTTAAACCCAAAAAGCTGCGGTGCAAAGCTCACGACAGTTGGCACTTTGCTCTTTCCTTTGTCGACCGAAACAGTTCGCAGCAGTGCACCCTTACCCCTCCTATATGATGATGGTACAATATACCTAAAACCCTATGCCAATTGGGTTCGCCATCACAGCAAATCTCGCCTGGCTTCTGCAGCCAGCACAAGAAGACAACTGGTAGAAAAGCTGACGACCACTGCGACACTGTGGTCACCAGCCATCATGAAGCTATTGTAGGCCATGAAGCAATGCCAGCTGTAGCAATTCCTTTTAAGTTGTGTTCTTCCATGTGGGTAGTTGTCAAAATTGAGGTCCCTTCGTGGGTACCCTAAATAATAGGTGCCGTACTACAAAAGGAACCCCAAAAGGCACCATAATCTTGGCAACCACCCATGTGGAGCCTTGAAGAGGGTCGCTGTTGGGAGTCAAAACTTGTCCCTCGGACTCGGGCTCAATCATGCCCGGGGTCAACAATTTTTTGGACCTTTCACTCCACCAACAATTTAGGGTTTAGGGTGTAGGGTTTAGGGCTTAGGGTTTAGGGTTTAGGGGTCGTCAGCTGGTCTTCCACTGGTCTGGGATTGGTTTGGGTGGGTTAGGGTCGTGTGGTGTTTGGTCGGGGGTGGGCTAAGATGTATTTTGGGAAGACATTGTCAGCCACGGAGGCTCCAGCAGGGTTAATTTTCAGGTTCGGGGTTTGGGGTTTAAGGATTGGGGTTTAGAGTTTATGGTGTGGGGTGCTACGATTCAGTGGTCAAGGTATGTGGGCTGAGGCGGAGAAGCTGCAAAAAGCGTGAGGACCCAAGAAGCCATAGTTCAATTCTCAGACAAAGGCTGCAGCGGTTCTGGTTCGGAACACTGATGAACATGCAGGTGTCTCACCAAAAGAAGTCCCTGCCATAGACTCAAATTCCAAGTTCCTGACTATGTATGAGGAACCCCTAGACAAGGTACCCCCAATCCGGGTTTGGTGTTGGAGGTTCGGGTTTAGGGTTTAGGGGTTCAGGGGTTTAGGGTTTAGGATTTAGGGGTTTACTGTAGGGTTTAGGGGTTTAGGGGCTTAGGTTTTAGGCTTTAGGTTTAGGGTTTAGGGGTTTAGGGTTTAGGGTTGTAAGGAATCAGCCTTTAGGGACTAAGGCTTTAAGGCATTGGGACTTTCGCATGCCTCTTGCAGGCAATCTCTTATCCGTTTCCAAGTGTATCTAGATCTGCCCCTAGAGTCCTGTTCTAGTAAGTACGGCTATAAAGATCTTTGCAACCCGTACTTGAAAAGCAAAAACTTCAAACGCTTAAGGCACCGTTGGTTTCATTTCACCGCCGTGGCAAAGGTCGAAGCTGGAGCCCTCTAATCTCACTTCGCTGCTTGCCTGCAGCTTAGGGTTTCGGGTTTAGGGGGTTTAAGGGACTGCGGTGTAGGGGTTGTGTAGGATTTAAGGTTCAAGGCTTTACGGTTTAGCCTTAAGAAATAGAAGTGGCTTCCATAAAAATGGGTTCCTTTACAGTTCTATACGGGCTCGATGAGAGGCTTGGCGGCCTATGAGCCTTAATAATTAGGTAGGGTTTTGGGGTGTAATATTTTCTATAAGTACAATGAGATCAAAGACTAGTAGTGGTAACTGTTCCAGCTTCTATATCGGGTTTAGGGAACATGTTAAGGCTCCATATGAATGCCTATGAAAGCTGAGTAGGGCTTCTGTAGGGCTTTAAGGATGCTCGGAGTTGAGGGCTTCACGGGCCAGGAGTTACGACAGAAAGAAAAATCCTACGTGCAGTCAATACGGGTGCTCGCAACAAGAAGTCCAAACAAGACAAAATCCCTGAAGCCCGAAGTTCGCTCGGGAGTTTCAGACACAACTTTACCCTCAGGTAGACCCCGACATAGTGAGGCCCTTATTGTACTGTCTGGACCTCTGAGAAAATTCCGAACGCCACCGACAAACTCAATTTCGGTTCTTTATGGATCCTGATTGTAAGCATCTTCGGTTTAGGGAGTGTTTAGGGCTTGGGGTTTGTACAGTAAGAACGCTACTAGCCAGGCCCAGTATTAGTGATTAGTGTTCCTTGGTGCAGAGGCATTGGGCGAACAGTAACACGGGAATGTGGAGTCTAGTGCACAAAAAGCACCGCACACAAATTGCGATGCCTGATCCTGAACTGCCCGAAACTTGCAAAAACTCGAATTCCGAAACTCCAAACTCAAGCACGAACCAGGCCGTAGCAGATTGCCAGGCGGAGCCTTTTTCTCTCCAAGCTGATGTGCCCTAAACCCCAAACCCCTCAACCCTAAACCCTGAACCCTAAACCCCTAAATCCCTAAAGCACTCAACCCAGGGTTCTTCCTGCCTCTGTTCCCGGGCCAGCTCTTGGATCACTCGAAAAGCCATGATGGCACCTGGGGCCCTTATGTTTATGTGGTCTTCTTTGCGTCATCGTGGTCGTCGTGGTTGTTGTTACTGGTGCTTTTGCTGGCGCGTTGCTGTTGCTGTCTCTGTCAGCTGTCCGCTGTCCGCTGTCCTGTTGCTGTTGCTGGTGTTCTTTGTTGTTGGGTGGCTATCGGCATGGGCTTGTGAGCAGAGCGGGTTTTTTGGAGCTCTTGCTGCTGCTGTTGTTCATAGTTCTTCTCATTCTCATCTCATCAACATCTTCTTCTTCATCAACATAAAACTCATCATCAAACATCAAAACCGACATCACCCTTGTCGCCGTCACCAACATGACAGTTCCTTGGATCGAAGCAATGACGCAGCAGCAGCAGCAGCAGCAGCAGCAAATCAACACCATCGACAGTAATTGTAACAGCAGCAGAGATAACAATAGAACTGGTAAAGCCCCCCTTTCTTGCTCGAGGTACGATGCCACAAATTACTACGGCTTTGGGGGCGTTCAAGCATTCAGGCCTTGCAGTTTCGGGATCTCAACAAAAGGGGCCTTTATGGCAAAGAAGCAGGCATCAACCTTACCTTCGCTGCTTCACCAAGCAGCTTGCCACCGCCGCAATGCCTGCAGTCGCGAAGATGATCGACTGCTGAGTGGGTACCGAGTGCCCCCAGTGGAACTCATTTGCAAGCCTCAGCAGTCTTGGATGCAATGACCGTGATGCTGCTTCTTGATCGGTAATGCATGCGGAACCTGCATAACTGATAACAATGTTCCTTAAATCCGGGTTTAATCCAGAGACCTCAGACGGAGGAGCTCCGGTTTTAGAACTCACCGTCCCGTTTCGGGGTTAAGGTTTAAGGTTTGGCGCAAACCCGGAAGGCCCACATGCCGAAATCCCCCGAAACACCGTGATTCGGGCTGAGTGGCAAAGCACTCTAAACCCGGAATCCTACACCTTCAAGCTTACAGCCTAAACCCTCAACCCTAAACTTGCACCCGGGACGTTCAACTGCGACCCGTAAACTCAAACCCTCAGCCACGCGGCAAAGTGGACACGCTTGTGATCATCACCATCGCGGCGAAGAGCAACCAGATTTCGATCCTGCAGGCGGTTGCGGGGAGGAAGCCCGAAACCATGAAACCAAAACAGCCCTCAATCATAAACCCTCAAAGTCAAGCGCAAAACTCCAAACGAAACGAAGTCCCCGAAGTTTCTAGACGGCTTTCGGGCCAGTTCTCCAGTGAGTCTGCGAGGGGACCACAGCGAGCTTAGTTTTTTGAGTAATAGGGTTGTTGTCGAGGCTTCATAGTTCATAAGGTTTTCGACTTTTTATAGGGCATAGTCTGGGGTCTGAACATGTCGAGAATGGTGAGGTTTAGGACTGTCAAGACAAAACCTAGGGGTAGGATACTTAACATGAGCCCTCATTCTATCCTAGTTTGCTAGGAATGTAGCCAAATATGAAGAAGCTGCGGTAGACGCTTTCATGAGTAGAACAAGGGTTTGGAGTCTTGTCTAAGAGGATTAGTCCGACCAGTATTCTACACCAGAACCCAGCGCTCCAGTTCCACTCCGGCGAGTGGTAAGGCTTGTAGCGGCAGTACAGAAACAGCGACACCAAAACCACAATGCCTGGCAAAGTCGTCGCTGCATTGATGGGATCATTCAGAATCTCAAGGTTCCTAGGGTTCAGGGTTCGGGTGGATGACTGTTCTGAGGTTTAGGGTGCTCCGGGTTTAGATTTTGGACAACAACACAGGCTGTATTCTTGATTATGCGACTGCACCCGCCGATCCCAGAAGCTTCCGAAACAGTTTCAAGCGTCTCGGGCTTGGGATGGAAAATCGCCTCAAGAGAGTCTCCAGTCTAGGGCTGGCATTCAGAGTCTCAAAAGTCGCAAGACCGATTCAACGAAGAATCTCCAGACTTGGGGCCTTCTCGGCTCACGGAGCCCCGTTCCCAATATTAGCCAACCCTGAATTACCATGTGATCCCCGAGGGCTCGACCCGATGTTCTGCTACACACGCTCGCCTAGGCAGCCCATCTGCAACGCTGGCGAGGAGGCGATGGGCAGCAAGGCGCCGATGAACGTGAAGAGCGTCTTCCTTCCACCAGGCTGAAAGGCATCGGGCCCGATGCTGTTCCGGAACAGACGAGATTAACGCGACGCACGCTGAACACTGGTGGGCAAAAGCATATTAGAACTGTTCACACACAATGCCTTTCCTGTTCTAGGCTTTGTCGGGGCCAAACCCCCCTTGAGTGCACAGAGACGGCGTTTTGGGAGAAAGGCACTCTCTCCATCATGAGAGTGGAAACACTGTGATCTTCGACACGAGCTAGTGCTGAGATGGTGACAAAATCGTGAAGTCCAAACCATACCCTACCACAAGGACAGCGCGGCTCCTGATCAAGCGCTCCGTCTCGAAGAGCGAGTATCTGCGCTGGTACTTGCTGGTCAGGAAGACCACGTGGCTGGGTTTGGGCTCCTCCCAGCCGAGTTGTTACGGCTCGCGGCTGAGACTTTGGAGAACCTAAGGCCTTGAAGGGAACCCTGAAACCCTAAAGCCTAAACTCTAACCCTAAACCCTAAACTCTAAACCCTAAACCCTAAACTCTAAACCCTAAACCATCAAAAAGGTTGAGGCTTCGGGTTTTAGGGTTTGGAAAGTTTGGAGCTCGAGGCTGGGAATTCAATCTTTGGCTTCGCAGCATCAGCCTTCGGATGGCTGCTTCTGGGAGATCTTTGATTTTGATGTGCAGTAGCCTCTTTATCCGCATGGGATATCTTTTAGGGGTTTAGGGTTGAGGGGGGGAGGCTGGTGGATGTGGATTTCGAACCTAGGACTTCCAGCTCGCGTAAAAAAAGGGGCGGCCTCAACAAGTAGCATAGGGTTTTGGAGTATGTTGTAGTGTCAGATGAAGTGGAACTACGGGAGAATCTACTACTCATTACTCCGACCCCAATACCCTAAACCCTTGACTCAATACCTAAACCCTAAACCCTAAACAGGGTGGCTTGGAGTCAACTTGCGGTCGAGGGTTCGTGTTGCGCGGTCATCATGTACACATTCGCCTCCACCCTAAGCCCTGACGACTTAGAGTTCAAGTCCTAAACTCTAAACCCTGAACTCTAAACCCGGAACCCTACACTCCAAACCCTAAACCCCAAAGAAACCCAAACTCTAAACCCCCTTTACGGTTTAGCCGCCCCGCGTGTTCGGTCGGGCATCCCTGCCCTTCGCCCGCCTCGTCGGATCTGGAGAGGCTGAGCCTCGTGGAAGCCGGAGAGATTCGTTTTGGATTTTAAGGACCTGCATAAGTACTAAATGGTCATTTAGGGGTTCTTACTATGGTCATGGATCATAATGTAATGACGAAATGTGATATAAGCATAAAATCATATGATCATTTAGGGATGAGGTGGTCTGTACACTCCCGACCCTTGGAAGGCGCGTGATTCAGGTCACGGACTGGGCCATGTGCTGCTGGCCTATACACTAAATCCTACACCACACCTCCCTCGAGACATTCCTAAACCCAAGGGTTCAGGAGTCTCTGGGCAGCCAGGCTACTCAAGTCTGTTGAAGGCCAGAAAAGTGCGTGAGGGAGGAAGTGCGAGGCTTGATAGGTCTTCAGTGGCTTGGAGGTTTGATCATACGATAACCATGTTCAAAATCGACAAGGAAATCATATTAGCAACATTAATAATTATTCAGGTCCCTATATCATATCACGTATTTTCATTATGATCATAGTAAGCGGAGTTTAGGATCCAACCCCCTTGAAAACCATGAGATGCCGCGAAAGCGACTGGTGTCCAAGGACTGAACCCGAAACACTGCAGCCTTTGGCCGTACACCGCCAGCCAAGGGGCCATGTCCAAAGAGCGGCGACCATGAACAGAATGAGGGCTCCCGCCACCTCGCGCTTCATCGCGGGGTTGACGGTGTTGGGAACAGCAATGGAGCTGGATAACAATGGTATAATGACCATCACAAGTCGAACGATGTTCCCAGCAAGTCATGACAACGATCCTGGCAGAACAGCTTACAGTCGCAAAGATGATTTAGTTGTGATGATGTTTTCCCGGTAATAGTGATATTGATGCTGATCTGCAACAGCCACAAAAGGGTGAGACGTCAGTCGTGCAGGAGCAGGATTGCTTGCAGCCAGTTTTCCACAAGAAATGGGGCTACGGAAGCAACAATTACGACAGCCACCACCATTCACCTCGTGCTGTTCTCAGTCTTACGACCCATGTTTGAAGTAGAACTTGAATGGCCATAAGCAACGCACTCATGATGAGATTTTCTTAATCATAGTCGCTGTCGTCACTGTCCTAGTCGTCGTCTCTCTCTATCTCTCGGTCCCTCTCTCTCTGCTCGCTACGGCCCGAAGGCCGTCTGATGTCCGTGCAAGTCATCGTCGTCGCGTCGTCTTGCCGTAACTCTACAACTTGGGTATGTGGCTGTTGACTTCACTGTCTGGGTATGCATATATCCATCGATGCGGCTAGCTTGCTGTCTCAATCTCGATTTCTAGACTCTAGACTTGTCTGTGTCACAGGTACATAGATGCGTGGTAGACTCCCGAAAAAAGATGGACAGATGGGTGGAGAGAGAGAGATAGAGATAGGTAGACAGACAGACAGGGAGTTTGATAGATTGCCAGGCATCTCAGCTCGTCCTACGTACAAAAAGCCTGCCTTGATCTCAGGACATCCCACAAAGCAAGGCGGGATGCAAAACACAAAGTCGCGGCAGGCCTGTGAACTTGGGATGCTTCCAACTTTGCTAGATTCTGCTAGATGCTGATGTAGACAAGGGCTCCGGAAGCGCCAGGGTCCCGGCCCCGCGAAATCTAAACTGCAGGATTTGAAGCAGCCTTTAAGAAGCCTCCCGGCTCTCAATTTCTGCATCTACATCTCAAAACCTAGCCATGCCTGAACCCTCTATCCCTAAACCCTAAACCCTAAACCCTAAAATCTGCAACTCTGCCCCGGGGGACGCCTGCGTCGCCACGGCGAGCCCGGCACTTCCAGGGAGGAAAGGGCACTGGAGGCCCTCGTCTCGCCGCAGGCGGTAGCCTGAGACTTCCGTAGGGTTTTCGCTCTTGGGGTCCTAGGGTCTACATGAACCACGACACCTTACATCCCTCAACCCCACAACACATCTCACCTTTCAGAACAACGAATCCAAGCCTGAGAGTAGGACTTGTCTACATTCGAAACCAGACTGGGAAACCAGGAAGCTTGCAGATTCGTGGCTTGGACACACATCGACGGAGCTCGAGATGTTGATCGTGGGTGTTGGATTTAGGATCCGGTTTGTGCATGCACGTCGTGGTAGGATCTGAGGCATAGGGTGCTTTCAATGTGTGTTGGCTCTTCGAGGATCGAGCTTCGGTTCTCGATGCAATGTTGGCCATTCTTGGTCTTGCTGGTTCGATTTGCATTTGGGGATACAACCTCAACCCTAAACTCCTATACTCCTAAACCCCTCAAGCCCAAAGCCTAGAGAAACCTGGGCACCGGGCACACCAGATACTTTCCGAAGTCGGCAGCTATTGTGGGTAGGAAGCAGTTCATGCCTCCATCATGGCTGAACGCTGCTTGTGGGCTGAGTCTCGCAAAGCACAGCCAGGGATCTTAGCAGAGGAGTGGGCACGCGGAAAAAAAAAGACAAATATACACATGTATACTGGAGGCAGACAGAAAGGCAGACGCACAGACAGAGAGAGAGAGAGAGATAGAGCCTGCTAGTTAGCCAAAACTGTTAGCTAGCTGGGCAGCCGGCAGATAAGTAGATCTGCAGAGCTGGGCAGCCGTCAGATAAGTAGATCTGCAGATAAGTAGATAGACGACTAGGAAGATTGGCAGATAGGTAGATTAGGTATGCAAGTACATGGAAACACACAAATATCTCCATACGCATATGCACATACACATACGTGCACACATGCGCAAACATATGCATATTAACAGGTACATGCACGAATACATGCAGACTGCAGGGCTTAGGTTCTAGACGATGGCTTCATGGTTGAATTAGCGGATAGATGCACAAAGCACAAGAATTAGTCGGATCAATGAAGCAGCTCTTCGAATTTGATACTTTGACTGAAAGTCAATTGCACCACGCAATGAGGATTGCTCTGCGTCCAGAGTATTTCGAGCTACTTAGACGCCCGGGCCTGCGACGAGTGCAACACGAAAATCCTTGATCAAGGACAGCGATGAAATGAGCCCGGCTGCCACAACCTTCAGGGTTGTCGCAGATTGACGCCTTCGAGCCCAAAGTAAGGCTCCTACAGAGTCAGCAACTCAACAATAGGGTTGGAAGCCTAGAAGGCCAGCCATATTCATTATACTCTCAATTGCTGCTTGAAGACTCCAGGACCACGCACATCTGCAACCCTGAAACATTAACCGTAGCAATAGTGGCCATACTGATAGCAGTGGGATCCCTGTTTAAAGAACCCTACGAAGGATAGTAATTGTAGGGGTCTTCGTCGTAGGACCGACAAAGGAGCCACCGGAGTAGTATAGTCGGATCCTGATCAGAAGTAGGAGGACCCCATGAAGGAGCGCGCAGTAATACTAGCAATAGACAGAGCCTTACTGCCTTCTACAAGGACCCGCAACGAAGCTGGTCGATCCACGGGTTCTGGTTCCTGTGCAGGTCTGTGCGGCCCAGCAACGACATCCAGCAGGTGAGTGCCCCATCTGAGCCACAGTCCGCACAACAACAACAACAACAGCTACAATAACTGCGGAGTCATCACTTCTGTGCAGCTGAAACCGTACACCAAGCCACAAGGTCTTCTCGTAGCCGACGTAGGACAAGAGACACTGCGAGGAGGCGCTGAGTAAAGATCCTGGCGGGAGCTGCTGGGTCACTTCTACCGAGGGTCTAGGGTTCAGGATTTCAGGTTGCGAGTTTCGGGTTATGGGTGCAGGGTTTCGGGTTTCAAGGAGATTGCCTGCGTTTCCGATAAGGCGGGAACCAGCTGAAGGCGGGCTAAGCCGGCATCTTGCGCTGGGCAGTGCGATGCATCTTGGGCAAAGCATAGGTCGGGTTCCAGCGGACGCGAAAAGCGGACCTTCAGTTAGCCTCGGAGTTTAAGGTGCAGGCTCCTCGGAGGCTCCAGTCTTGCAGTTTGCGGCTTCGAGTATAGTTCTCCGAACCTCAGCCCTGCGCCCAAAGGGCATGTCCTTGTCCGGAAGCTGCCTCGGCCGTGTGCACGGCAGCGTTGAAGAAGAAGTTCGCCTTGGCTCGGAGCCCATGGAGAGATAAGATGATACGATATGATATGATGTTATATGATACTAGCTGATATTATATGATATTGTATGATATTACATGATGTTATCTGCAGGGAGAAAGCACCGAAATGCCAAAGCCGGCCGGGCGGCAGCATCGCTTTTGATGTCCTTCGCCGTCTGGGTCTGCAGCACGGCAGCCAGGATCCTGGCCACTCGCCACAAGAATTCTGGATTCTGGAAAACTTTGGGGTTTAGGGCGTAGGATTTGGGGCTAAGGGTTTTGGGTTGTCACGGGACGTCTAGGGAAAACCAAAGCCCATAAAGCCCCTGATATGCCGGCAAGCGTCGTGTTGGAGATGGTGGCAAAGGCCATCAGCTGGTTCAGGTAGATGCTGCTTTGCTTCAGGTCCCCAGCCTGAAGTCCGTAGCGCAGGTAAGGGTGGGTTCGGGCTTCAGAGCTCTCCGTCATGGGCTCCAGTGATGTTAGTGCGTTGGATGGCTTCGAGCTAGATGGCTTTAGGGCTTGGGTCATGCCAAGCGTCCTTCTTGGCTCCAAGGGCGCTGAGAGCTCCGAGTGCGAAGAGGAAGGTGCGCTGAGACAGGAACGTGATCCACTGCACCGCCTGCATCGGCTTTGAACAAAGGGACTCCTACATCCCTTGACCATGGGTCCCCTGAGTGAAGGGGTTGTGTCGGAATTTACAAGGTTTGCTATTCTCTTGTCAAGGGTCTCTGTCGTAATGAAGGGATAGTCTTTATGTGACAAACTGAACTGGCCTTCCACATAAACCAGCATTTGCATAGAAGAAGGCTTCTGAACGTGCTCCAGCCAATGGTCGCGAGAACCACATGCGGCATCTTTCTGGTTGCGTGATAAGAATGTCCTGCCTGCACACGACGGTCTTTGCTGCAGGCAGTGCCTCGGCAACATGCTGCCGGACTACAAGCCGTCTTGCCACGAAGAACAACCGGATTCTTTGGTCTTCCTATACTGATGCAGTTGTTCAGAATACAGCTGTTGGAGCGAGAAGTGTCGGTTAGGTTGGAAGTTCGAAGGCGCTCGGCGCTCGCGGACAGTCGTAGGGGCCGAGGTGACAGCCGCTGCGAGGAGCGGCACGCAAGGCTGGACAAAGCTGGGCCCTGCAGCTTTCTTACTGGGGGCTGTGCCTACTTGGTCTGCGACGTGATATGTCAATGGAAGGAGCATCGCACCAGGTCACCAACGTGATTGCACCGGCATGTCCGAGAAGCCAGATGTCTAGAATCTGGAACCCCAGGCCGCAATTCTGACGGCCAACATCATTTCCCAACACTGGAAGTCGGGAATTCTGAGCTGCGGCTGCATGCTTCGAAGCACGAATGTTAACTGCTTTAGCTGCAAAAAATGAGCAGTGTCCAGCCCGGCCAGAAATAACATGTTGATGCCAAAGGTTCGGAAGGTCTGCAAACCACAGACAATTAAACAGAGCCCAAAGCTTGAAAGTCCAGGTGGGGCAAGGAGCACGAGAACACACTGCTGTCCGCCATGGCATACTCATCGCTGCAGCTCGTGCAGCCTTGGCTCCGATAGCCTTGGCTTCGTCAGTTTCAATCTCTGCTTCTTCAAATTCGGGGTCAAAGGTGACATGGCAAGGCTCACAAAACGCGCGAGTCAGAAGACTCTAATGACAGAAATATCGTGGCTTTTTGCTAGAGTATCTTTCGCTTTGGGGTCTACTATGATCGTAATCTACACATCATAAGGAACACTCTCTTCAGGCTTCTACATTTCCTCTATAAACTATAAACCGGAACCCAAAGCCACAGCCGAACCTAGACCCCTTGGAGCTCAGGCAGCCCTCTGCACACATTGCCAGGTGCACCCTTCCCTGGGATACGTCGCCCCCAGGGCAGGCAGCCTGAGGGATGGACTCCCTGACTTCTTGGGTGTTGGGCCAATCTCAGCACCATAGGTTGTGGTGTAGGTGCTCTACTTTGTTGATGGTTGATGGGCACTTCATTCTCCCATGCATGTAGCACAGTCTCGTGGTGGAAGGCCGAAAAATCAACAGCATCTAGTAAGAGACTGCAAGGGTTTGGCGTCTCTCAAAACCTTAAACCCCAAAGAAAAACTATAGAACCCTTACAGATGCCTTATAGAAGATTTCTACAGACCCCATATTATAGAATCCCTTGAAGGGACCCCTTATAGAAGCCTCATAGAGTCATAAAATCCTTAAAGGGATCCCTAATCTTCCCAGCCTCGTTAGGACAGTGGAAGCTGCCGTTGACGTTCTCCAATTCCACCATGAGCCCGGGCCTCAGTCTTCAGGGGTTTCCAGGGTTGAGGGCTTCAGGAGGGTTGAGGGTTTGGGGTTAGAGGGGTTTGGGGTTTTGGTTTAGGGGTCGGCGGTGTACTGGGCTTTTGTGCAAGGTTAGTTGGGGTACATTCCTGGCCTGCCTCCTCCTTTTGCGTGGATTGAAGAAATACTGCTCAGAAAACGAAATTTGTCAAATGCATGCTCGGAAGATGCTGCTGCCTCCGTTCGAAAGACTGCTTCGAAAAGAAATGGTTTAAATGAAGTAGAGCTTCCCACTTAATTGACTGTTCTCTTTCGTGGGTCTGCCCTTGTATCGCCAATCGGCCAGGTTTGGACCCAACACCCAAAAGCCAAAACCCAAACCCAAAAGCTTCTAGCTGGTCAATGTATAGGACATGGAACTCCATCTTCAGCTCGCTGGCCAAGCACTTAGAAGCCCCTTCGGGGCACTGACTGCACGGCCTGGAGACGCACTCGATATCTGAAACATCCGGCACAAAACCGCTCACAAATACTGCTGGAAGTGGAAAGCCACTTCGGAGATGGTATGCTCTCCACGGCTGGCGAGAACTATATGGTTCGTTCTGGACTGACATTGTGGGCTGTGAGTCGCGGCGAAGCTGCAGGTGTTTTAGTTTAGGCTTAGGGGCTTGGACCACAAACGATTGAACAGCAAACCCAGGATCACAACAGCCTCCTTCCAACCTGATGAATGTCCCCATTCGATCTTAACACGGCAGGCCTTTTCGTCATGTTCAGAACCTGCGCGTCCCCTGGCCGGCATGCCTGGCGGGTCTTGTACGATCCCGTCTTTGACTTCTACAGGAAATTCGCGGTACGGTTCGGTTCTATGTCCTGTATCTGGCTACGAAAGCATTGTCGAGGTCGGCTTTCGCCGACCTCAGTCGCGAAGAGACACGGGCGGCGTCACAAGTCACAAGATGCCCTAGGAGATTTCTCCTGCGCGCCTACGAAGTGGGAGCTCCACAGGGCTCCGAACACCAGGCTCTACACTTCAAGGGCAACGCAGGCCAGCGATACCAGGCAGCCGAAATCACGCAACTCTTCGAAATCCACCGACCCCGTGCCCAAAGGGCAAAGGAAGGTGGAACTTCTGGCGGCGTTCGCAAAGAACGTGCCTGGATGGGAATGCTTTTCGTCTGGTCAACTCAAGGCGGAAACCTGCAGGCAAAGCTCGCAATGCAGTCCAGTTGCAAGTAGAGGTGCTCGTGCAATTCATCACGTCCTCCTTGCTGCATGAGAACGAAGGAGTTTTGGTCGCCCCGCCAAATCCCGCCTCTTGCATGACATCCAAATGCCTCCGAGCTTCTAAAGACAGGTTATGTGCTGAGATGTAGATGCCGGAGCTCGACTCGGTACTCAGGTTAGCCGAGTCGAGCTTCAAGAGGCCTGCCGCGGCAGGATGCTTGCAACTCCTGAACCTGATCCTGGAAACGACTCTCAGGCTCTCGACACTGAAGGCAAAAACTCGGCCAAGCTAAGGATCTCAAGTCCAGCAAGGAGTCTTGGAACGCGAGTGGTAGGTGAGGGGAAAGTGGAAGAGAAAGAGAGACAGACGCAGAGTGCTGCAGTGAGAACGGCAGGAACATTTGAGCTGCCGCTATGGATCGGATATGACCGAGCATGTGGCCAAGAGAAAACGCTGCCTGTCGCAAGTTGGAGGCACAGCAAACTCCTCACCATCTATGAATCTATTATGACTATTCTCACCAGCAGATACATCACCACGTGTGTAAATGCCGCGGGGGTGCGATTCGTATTGGTCTTCTGCTTTGCTTTATAAACAACAGGTTAAGATGACATGTTTCCTATGGTTCCCTGGATGATTGATATCAACTTAAATCACCTCATGAATTTCTTCCTGTAGTTAATGCTTGCTTCCATGTTCTTGTGTAATTCACTGCGCTCCTGCACTGCCCTTATTCTTAACTTTTGGATCCGATAACCCCACATGTCAAACTTTTTGCATTTCATGCAGCGCGCTTGATGAGAAGACGAGTGTGCATGATTGTGCATAGTTGACTGTGCCTGTGTGCAACCCTGTTTCTATCAGATTTCATCGGCAGTTGTTGAAAGTCTTGTCAGTAATCAACCAGGGTTGCCCTACACCTGAAACATGGACAACCTAGCAAAGAAGCTCGTCAAGATTTGTTGAAACAGACAGTCTGTGTACTTGCCATGCCGTCCAACAAGTGCCTCTATGCCTCTATGTAAACGCCCTTGTTTCGGCAGTCTATCCGCAACGTACTGCTTGTGTGGCTGAACTCCTTCACCTCTGACTTATCAGAGGGAGGATTACACAAGTGTGATGGTCTTACAGTAACACCGCAAGAACGAACAATCAAATTCAGAACAAGCGCAATCAAAGTAAGAAGTGCATGAGTAACTGCAAAATTCAACATTATTCTTTTCTATGCAATCTCCGCGTATTCAACACATCTTAATCGACGGGAGCATCATGTACGAGATCCAACTGCTCTGTTCAAGATACCATCATGACGTATGACGTTAAAGCACACAGAGAGGATCGCTGCCGCAAGTAGCAGCTAGCCCTCGCAAACCCACAGCACGACGAAAATGCTCGTGCGAGCGCAACTCAGAACGTTGCCACAGTTGCAAGAAACCGGCAACAGCAGTGGATGGGCCGCTAGGTAGCCAACCTTCTGCCCTGCCCCCCCAAACCCCTAAACCGCTAAAACCTAGACCCCTAAACCCCTAGACCCTACACCCCTCCGGGGAGCAGACCAACCCAAAACGCTAACAAACCACAGCAAGAAGCAACGGTGCCTCTAGGACTCTAGGATTAGAGGGTTTAGGGTTTTAGGGTTTTCGGATGTAGGGTTTAGGAGACACAGCTGTGTCTGAAAACTGCATTGAATGAGATACTTTGGCCTGCGACTGCGATGTCGTTGACATTCCCTTCGCTGCCCCTCGACAGTGAGAGCTCCTGAGGTCAACTGCCATGATAGCGCTTGCTGAAAGGCATGTGGTCTGGCTAGAGGTCCTTTCAAACTCACTCGCTCCCATGTGGTAGATGATATACAACATATTGTATGTAATATTTATTGTGCCGCTTATTCTTCTGCTATAAGTAAACACTATCACTATCTACTTTTGATGTGCCTACACATTCTGAATCCCGTCCTCGATTCGCACTTCCGCTTCTGCGCCATTGGCTGCAATTGCAGCCAAGGCGGCTGCAGTCATGTCAGCATCGCAACGATCAAGAAGCAGCTTGCGAAATTGTCCTGAATCATCAACGTTCACTGATTCACTGAGAGGGCTTCAATCAGCATGGAGAACGGTTCAGGCATCCTAGTGCGAAGCGGTAGGATGGAAGCACTGCTGTTCCTTCGTTTGTTTACTACTTGCTGATCACAATGATCCCCAGCAAAAGAGGCTCTTGGAAGGCTTGCCCACCAGCACCGTCTCCGGCTGGCGCACCCGTTTGGGAGTGAGAGTTCGACATGAGTGCCTTTAAAACACTACTACAGTAACAACAATAGTCATGAGTCATGAACTGATAAAAGCAACAACGATTGAAAATATTAAAACAAAAAGGGCTTGAGCTTCGGTGTTGGCCGGGTCCCCGCGGGGCTTGCTCTCCGCGCTTTACTTTGGAGATTCGGTCTGAAGTCAGTGCCTGTGGTGCCAGCACGGGTGCTATGCAACTGCTCCCGGCACATGAGTGAGTCACAGCCGACTAAACTTTGCAGGGCGCTGCGAGTCAGAAACCCGACACCCCGAACCCAAAAGACGGGCTCAGAAGAAGTGGCATGTTGGACAACCGATGCTTGCAAGCCACCCGAGTCTCCAAAGGAAAGGAAACGAAGATAGTATAGCGAACATGCGGGTTTCAAGTCTGTCGTCCTTTGCCGGCATCCATGTAAATCCCACCGCCGATGCTGCTGGCATTGCACGCCTTCCAGTTTCCGCTTTCTCTGCTCACTACCCCAAACCTCCAGCAACTTCCGCCACCTGTCATATTTCCTCTCAGGCTCCAAGAACTCGAGGAATCTCCGGCTAAGCTCATTCTGGCCCGACCAAAAATCGAAGCAGAGGAGTAAATCCTGAACCTTGAAAACCGAAACTCCTACATCCTGAACCTCTAACCCTGCATCCGAAAAAAATGACCCCTTACCCTGAACCCCTGAGCACCAAAGTGTCGAGCACCCTCAACCACCGGCCTTGAAAGCGAGGGAACCGCCGTGATGTACTTTGCCGCCGTGGGTGATGCTCAGGCCGCCGCCTGTGCCAAGGCCAAAATGTCCCAGTAGTAGGTTTAGGGTTTGTTGGCACCAATCCCTTCTGCAGACAACGTAAAGCCCGATATGCAAAGTCCACCCCACAGCTAGCTGCTAGTATGCTCCATCACGCCACCACGATCGGCCCAAGGCAGTTCCAACATGAGCCAGGGCCTGGGACAGGTAGGGAGGTCCAGAGTTCCCAGCCTGCACGTGCCCGGCATGTCTTGAAGTGCATGGAGCCATTGCCGTCGAGGTTATCGGTGACAACACCGCCTCCGTCCCCTCAGCAGTCAGAGATACAGCGCAATCTTCAATGAGTGCGTTGACGCCATGTCCTTAACCAACTGCCTAGTGCCAAACACAACCAAGGCTTCTGACACACATACGCTTATGGTCACTGATGACCGTGCCGCCACCTTGTTCCGATCTGCGACATCCCCAATCTACAGCCTCGACTGCCAAGGTGCCACCTGCCGAGCAGTGCTCGAAGAGCACCGAACTGCCGGCTTCCTGCCGGTAGCTGCCTGAGGCATAGAGGCCGCCTCCTTGGTTTGCCAGCATGCTCTGAAACTGAAGTCAGAGGCTGCGATGTGTCTGTGTGGCCAGCGCGCCCTGGCAACAACCCCTAAAATCCCTCCAAAAAGCTGAAATCTGAAGAGCCCACAACCCGATACTTACCACCAACCCCCGGGGCTGGACTTTTCTGTTCTACACATTTGCTTGAACGGGCTGTTCCTGCCCTTGCATGCCCAACGGAGTGGGCGTCGCAAGGTTCCCAGCATGCTCCCGCTGGCGACAGTCACAAAACACTGCTGCCCAGGCTCCGCCGTATTTCGCTCTGCAGCTGCGGAAGATGGCGGAGCTGCTGGGTCCCTGCGTGAAGTTTTCTTTCACGCGAGCACCTCCGCCGTTGCCACCTGGGAGACAGCGCTGGCTCAGACGCATGGCGTTGAGATCAATGGCCTTCTGGATAAAATGCCCGAAGCAATTTATGACCGCCCCCTGAAACTGCAGACTAGACCCGTAGGCAACAAGGAAGCGCATGGTCTTTCTGTGTCTTACCTGCCTGACATCCCTCATCTTCGAAGCTCTGCTCCGAAGAGCCCATTGCACGGAACGAGGCCTTCAACTCCCCCACACGTCGTTCCCAGAGGCCTCCCAGATGCAACTGAGGCTCCAGACGTGCAGTTCTCGACAGTCACCATGCTTTCGGTTTTTTGGGAGAAGCTGCCCTCATAGAGGTAGAGGCCACCTCCTTGGGCCACCCAGCAGACTCAAGAATGCAGTCAGAGGCTCCAAAATGTTCCTGCAACGGCCGCAGCCCAACCCCAAAATCTCCTTGAAAAACCTGAACTGAGGAGCCCGCAAGCCCCACACCCTCAGCTTATCAATCCCAGAACCTGAATTCTGCTACACGCGTTTGTTTGCATAATCTCTCCTGCTGAGCAGGTGGCGCTTGCATGGCTCAGGTATAGAGGGCTCTTAGCATACTCCCACTGCCGGTCACAAGCACACTGCTGCCCAGGCTCCATCGTCTGCCGCACTGCAGCTGCGGAAGGTGGTGGAGCTGCTGGGTCCCTGTGCGAAGCTTTTCTGCACGCGAGCACAGCCGCCGACGCCACCTGGGAGGCAGCACGGGCTCAGACGCATGGCGTTGAGATCATTGGCCTTCTGCATAAAACGCCCGAAGCACTTTGTCTTACCTGCCTGACATCCCTCATCTTCGAAGCTCTGCTCCGAAGAGCCCATTATGCGGAACGAGGCCTGCAACTCCCCCACACGTCGTTGCCCAGAGGCCTCCCAGATGCAACCGAGGCTCGAGAGGCCGTGCAGTTCTCGAAGGTCACCGTGCTTTCTGCTTCTTGGGAGAAGATGCCGTAAGTGAAGAGGCCACCTCCTTGGGGCAGCCAGCAGACTCAAGAATGCAGTCGGAGGCTCCAAAATGTTCCTACAACGGCCGCAGCCCAACCCCAAAATCTCCTTGAAAAACCTGAACTCTAAGGAGCACGCAAGCCCCACACCCTCAATTTATCATGCTGCACGCTTTGATTGCAGGGTCGGTCCCGTGCGCAAGTGGCGCTTGCATGGCTGAAGCAGAAGGCTCTTAGCAGGCTTCCACTGGCGACACTCACAACAACGCTGCTGCCCAGGCTCCATCCGTTCCTGCGCTGCAGCTGCGGAAGGTGGTGGAGCTGTTGGGTCCCTGCGTGAAGTTTTCTTGCACGTGAGCACCTCCGCCGTTGCCACCTGGGACCCAGCACGGGCTCAGACGCATGGCGTTGAGTTCGGTGCCCTTTTGCATAAAACGCCCACAGCACCTTACGGCCGCCCCCTGAAACTGCAGACTAGACTAGACCCGTGGGCAACAAGGAGGCGCATGGTCTTTCTGTGTCTTACCTGCCTGACATCCCTCATCTTCGAAGCTCTGCTCCGAAGAGCCCATTGCGCGGAACGAAACCTTCAACTCCCCCACACGTCGTTGCCGGATGCAACCGAGGCTCGAGAGGCCGTGCAGTTCTCGAAGGTCACCGTGCTTTCTGCTTCTTGGGAGAAGATGTCGTAAGTGAAGAGGCCACCTCCTTGGGGCAGCCAGCAGACTCAAGAATGCAGTCGGAGGCTCCAAAATGTTCCTACAACGGCCGCAGCCCAACCCCAAAATCTCCTTGAAAAACCTGCACTCTGTCTGGCCCGCAAGCCCTACACCCTCAATCCCATCACCTGAATTACTAACGTACATTTGACATGCGTTGGATTGGTCCCACTGAGCAAGTGGGGCTTGCGTGGCTCAAGTATGGAAAGCTCCCAGCACGCTGCTCCCACTGGGGACAGTCACAAGCACACTGCTGCACAGGCTCCATCGTCTGCCGCACTGCAGCTGCGGAAGATTGTGGAGCTGCTGGGTCCCTGTGTGAAGCTTTTCTGCACGTGAGCACCGCCGCCGACGCCATCTGGGAGGCAACAGGGGCTCAGACAAATGGCGTTGAGATCAATGGCCTTCTGCATAAAACGCCCGAAGCACTTTATGGCCGCCCCCTGACACTGCAGACCAGACCGTGGGCAACAAGGAGGCGCATGGTCTTTCTGTGTCTTACCTGCCTGACATCCCTCATCTTCGAAGCTCTGCTCCGAAGAGCCCATTATGCGGAACGAGGCCTGCAACTCCCCCACACCTCGTTGCCGGATGCAACCGAGGCTCGAGATGTGCAGTTCTCGAAGGTCACCGTGCTTTCTGCTTCTTGGGAGAAGATGCCGTAAGTGAAGAGGCCACCTCCTCGGGGCAGCCAGCAGACTCAAGAATGCAGTCGGAGGCTCCAAAATGTTCCTACAACGGTCGCAGCCCAACCCCAAAATCTCCTTGAAAAACCTGAACTGAGGAGCCCGCAAGCCCCACACCCTCAGCTTATCAATCCCAGAACCTGAATTCTGCTACACGCGTTTGTTTGCACACTCTCTCCTGCTGAGCAAGTGGAACTTGCATGGCTCAGGTATAGAGGGCTCTCAGCATACTCCCACTGGCGACACTCACAAGAACGCTGCTGCCCAGGCTCCACCGTCTGCCGCACTGCAGCTGCGGAAGGTGGTGGAGCTGTTGGGTCCCTGCGTGAAGTTTTCTTGCACGTGAGCACCTCCGCCGTTGCCACCTGGGACCCAGCACGGGCTCAGACGCATGGTGTTGAGTTCAGTGCCCTTTTGCATAAAACGCCCGAAGCACCTTATGGCCACCCCCTGAAACTGAAGACTAGACTAGACCCGTGGGAAACAAGGAAGTGCATGGTCTTTCTGTGTCTTACCTGCCTGAAATCCCTTATCTTGGAAGCTCTGCTCCGAAGAGCCCATTGCGCGGAACGAGGCCTTCAACTCCCCACACGTCGCTGCCGGATGCAACCGAGGCTCTAGACGTGCAGTTCTCGAAGGTCACCGTGCTTTCTGCTTCTTGGAAAAAGCTGCCCCAACTGAGGGCGAGGCCACCTCCTTGGGGCACCCAGCAGACTCAAGAATGCAGTCGGAGGCTCCAAAATGTTCCTGCAACGGCCGCAGCCCAACCCCAAAATCTCCTTCAAAAACCTCAGCACTCCCACTGGCGACAGTCACAACAACGCTGCTGCCCAGGCTCCATCCGTTCCTGCGCTGCAGCTGCGGAAGGTGGTGGAGCTGTTGGGTCCCTGCGTGAAGTTTTCTTGCACGTGAGCACCTCCGCCGTTGCCACCTGGGAGACAGCACGGGCTCAGACGCATGGCGTTGAGTTCGGTGCCCTTTTGCATAAAACGCCCACAGCACCTTATGGCCGCCTCCTGAAACTGCAGACTAGACTAGACCCGTGGGCAACAAGGAGGCGCATGGTCTTTCTGTGTCTTACCCGCCTGACATCCCTCATCTTCGAAGCTCTGCTCCGAAGAGCCCATTGCGCGGAACGAAACCTTCAACTCCCCCACACGTCGTTGCCGGATGCAACCGAGGCTCTAGACGTGCAGTTCTCGAAGGTCACCGTGCTTTCTGCTTCTTGGAAAAAGCTGCCCTGACCGAGGTAGAGGCCACCTCCTTGGGGCAGCCAGCAGACTCATTGCAGTCGGAGGCTCCAAACTGTTCCTGCAACGGCCGCAGCCCAATCCCAAAATCTCCTTGAAAAACCTGCACTCGGTTGGCCCGCAAGCCCCACGCCCTCAATTTATCAATCCCAGAACCTGAATTGTGCTACACGCGTTTGATTGCAGAGTCGGTCCCGCTGAGCAAGTGGCGCTTGCATGGCTCAAGTATGGAAGGGTCTTAGCACGCTCCCGCTGGCGACAGTCACAAGAACGCTGCTGCCCAGGCTCCAGCGTCTGCCGCACTGCAGCTGCGGAAGGTGGTGGAGCTGTTGGGTCCCTGCGTGAAGTTTTCTTGCACGTGAGCACCTCCGCCGTTGCCACCTGGGAGACAGCACGGGCTCAGACGCATGGCGTTGAGTTCGGTGCCCTTTTGCATAAAACGCCCACAGCACCTTATGGCCGCCTCCTGAAACTGCAGACTAGACTAGACCCGTGGGCAACAAGGAGGCGCATGGTCTTTCTGTGTCTTACCTGCCTGACGTCCCTCATCTTCGAAGCTCTGCTCCGAAGAGCCCATAGCACGGAACACGTCGTTGCCGGATGCAACCGAGGCTCGAGACGTGCAGTTCTCGAAGGTCACCGTGCTTTCTGCTTCTTGGGAGAAGCTGCCGACAGTGTAGAGGCCACCGCCTGGGCACAAGGAAGCCCTGGCTTGGAATGCAAACGCTTTAGGGTGAAGGGTCTCCAATCGACAGTGACATGAGAAACGATCTGAAGGCTACTTCGAGTCTCTTTAAAGGGACTATGTGACCCTCTTGAATGCAGGGTTTGCCGGCAGACCACTCGGAATGGTTACGCCCTCGGCTTGGTCGACCGGTTTATTGTCTACAGGACCTGACCGGCCTTTTGATGCACTGCAGCTCTCGAACATGACGCTGCTGTTGCTGACGATGAAATCTTTCTGGATGCGCAGAGCTCCTCCTTCTCCATCCTGGCCACTCCGAGCATCCCAAGATAATGCTTCGTCCTGCACGCAAGTCTGTTCGGCTGCGATTGATGTGCATCCCTGGTCAGGCTTTAACACGTCGTTGTAGCATTACTTGGCACGAGAACTCAGTTCCGACCAAGCAGAGCGGGAAACCATCACTCAGCAGACTAAAATGCCGGCCTGCTTTGCCGTGTACCGCATGCCATCTCGTGCTGATGCTGCTTGTTAACACGGTGATGTGTTTTGTTGATGATGGCAAGCATGCCATGCTGTCGCATGCATGCAACAATCATGCCCGGCGATTCGTAGGTCTTTCATGGGACATCTGGCTGGAAAAGCTGATGCACACAAACCTTTCAAATTGCACAGTTATTTAGAGGTCGCTTGGCGACATATCGGCAGATGCTGGCCATGCCGGTGTGGCATTGGCAAGCACGAAAAATGCTTCAAGAAGAAGACCGAGTATCACCAGCCCAAAGTGGGGACGCTATCGGGTCCCGTGCATTGCCGCTGAAGGACGAGTGTCCGGTATGGTGGGCTGCAGCAGCACGGCCAACAAGCAGTCGAGGCAGTGGCAAATGCTCTAACAAGTGGATCTGGCATTGCACCAAATGCTTGATCATATGGTATTCGCAATAGATACATCCTCGACATCAAACAAGATGAATGCTTGATAGGACTAGCAGCGATTTATACACTTCACATCTTCACGGTTTTGGGTTTGGCTGTGGGACCTTCGAAATGACAGAATGGGTGATCGACACTCTGTTTTGACTACACAGAGAACCCCGGCTGGCCCGCAAGTTGACTCCAAGGTTTCTGCTTCGTTTGCATGCGAACACGGCTCGATGCCCTTGTTTGCAAAACGGGTCTGGCTTGACCGCCGATTCAAGAGCAAGGGCTATCGTCTGAGTTTAGGGGCTTTGGGTGTTTAGGGGTTGGGGTCCTAGTAGAGGCGTGCCAGCGGTTAGCGGGTTTGAGGCTTGGGCTTCGTAGGTTCAGTGCGTTACATGAATGTCCCAGCCTCCATTCTGTTTCTGCAGCCAACGAAGCTGGCGTTCGCGGCAATCACCGTCATCTCCCCGCGCACAGTGATACCTTCATGAGGGCCGCAAACCCGAACTGCTGCCCCTGACTCTTCCTGCTGCCCGAGATGCAGGGTCCTTCCAGCTCCTGCTCCCCCATGATCTGTATCTCACCCGTCAAGACCAAATTGCCTGTCGCATGCAGTCATTGTCTCAGTTCTCCACCCTTCTCCGAGCATTCACCTTTTGAAGTTTCGAAACGCCCAAACACGTCAACGACTGGATTCCAGTACCCGGCCGTAGAAAGTCACGGGTGCCTTGGAAGGTCAGCGGTTCCTTGAGGGTCACCTCGCAGGCAAACTCAGAGGGAGAAAGGAGGAGGTGGCATTCGGTCCTCGGGATGCAAGCGAGGCTGGAGGCAGATCATGGCAAGTATGAGAGATTGAGGGTTGCAGCCTGCAGCTTCGCCAGGCAAACAAATTGGCATGGTTCATCGGAACCAGAGGCTTTAGTCGAAGAATCGCGGAAGTTGGAGCTGCACCACGGTCGCTTTCAATTTCCCGGCCTGCAGCCCTGGCTGCCCATGCCAGGTGCAACTGGTGCTGAAGAAGCGTGTCTTGTTAATGACCTGAATGCATATTCGAATCCAGAGCACACGAGGCTGGCTGTTGCACCAAATTCCAGCACTACCAAATGATACTGCAACCGTCAAGAGCTAAAACCCACTCAAGCACAGCCCTGCGACGTGGCTGCCATTGCGCGGAAGTCCATCGCAGTGAGAGTATGCGGCCTGGGATGCACAGCAGCTGGAAAGAAGTCCAGGGCTCCAAATGGCGTAAAGACGTTTGGAGATCAACATGCGTGGTGAAGACATGCAAGGCCTCAAGGCTGCTTGCTCTTGCGGCTTGTGGCGAATGCTACATGGTTGGAGAAGCATCGCCATGAGAAGTCAAAACGGCTCCACTTCTCCTTGATTTCGGGTGGCGTTGAAAGCCGATACATGGCATAAGGGCCTCTTTAGCTTTTTCTATAGCATTCGTGAACTCTGAACCCGCAACCGCAAGCAACGCGGACAAGCGACTGAGTCGCCTTCCAGAAAAGCAGTACCCGCCTCGACCGGTCAAGCGAGCCCTAGTTTAGGGTTTCGGGTTTAAGGTTTAGGGAAGCCTGAGGAACTGTTGAATACAGGGGGAATTATGCGTGGCATGTTTGTGCTTTAGCTTGGTCCAATCAGAGAGAGCATGTGCCCATTCCTACCTCAAACCCACGGATCCCGGGTCCCAAAACCCTGTAAACCCCTAGACCCCAAATCCCAGAATACACTCCCGGGACCGCGAAACCTTGGTCCGGTCGTTAGGGCTTCTGAAGGCTTAAGCTCTGGGGCCTTAAGCTTTTAGGGCTTTAGGGCCTTTGTCCGTGGAACAAGCCCCACAGACAACTGTTCAGGGCCGTTTCCACCAGCGTCTATATAGTTGTTCGGAAGCGCTGTAAGTTTGAGTCGTGGCGGAAGCATCGAACTTGGAGATTTGCGCTGTAGGCACTAGAATAACCGGAAGAGCCGTCGACGGTGTTCACGTAAGGTTGTTCACAATGCACAGGTTCTTAAAGATGTTCAAGTCTTGATTGAGTTTTGCCATCGCCCGAATACCAAAACTCGCCGAAGGAAAGGCTGCAGGCGAAGCTTGAAAATCTAAGTTAACCATGAATTCAGACTGCCACACCTTGGCAGCCAGCAAAGGAATCCCTCAGACTTGCACCCGAAATAACTGTCTCTGCTAGTCCGAAACCCGGACCTTTATCCGAGGAATCCTCTGCCCTGGAGTTTTCAAAGCCATGGCGAGCCACAGATCGGAAAGCCATCTAGCGAGCCTATCCAACAGAAAGCTGCAAACCCGAAAATCCAAAAAAAAATCTGTCACAAAAGAGGCCTCTGCAATCGGGCGGACATCTGGAGGCGCTACCTGCGCAGCTTGAGCTTCATCAGGGCTGAGAAGCTTCCCGGTCGACCAAAAGCAGCCGAAAACCGGATGCACTCATCTTCAAAACCAGGATGGCCCAGAAGACCTCAATCGAGCTGAAGAGCTGAACTTGGGAGGACGGCCGTCGGCCTCTGTTTCCAGGAGCTGCTGGACCGCCTCTCGCGAAGGGCGCACAGCGCAGCCGATGATGCACAGCCCTTGGGCCGCTTCTGGGCTACCGGGAACCGGGTGGCTTGCAAGGAAACGGCTTGGGCGCGACATCCGATTGACAAGAGGCACAGATCAAGCCAAGGCTCCCAGAAGGATCGTGGCGAAGGTCCCGGCGCATGCCATGAGCCGGCCAGAGACATGGAACGCTCCCCAAGCTTCAAGCCGGAGAGTCTATGAAGAAGTCAAACAACGGAGCCATGAGCTCTCTGGCTGGGAGCCAGGGCTGTGGCTGCGGCACACGTCAGTTGCTGCTAGCCTCTGCATCAACCCTGTGCAGGGCAACTCCTCCATCCTTTTGTTTGACTCTGTGAAAATATGACTCCGTTCGTTTCTGCAAATATATTCTTTTCTATGCAAGAGAGCCGCAGCATGAACGCAGTCGAAGGCCTGTCTTTTCTCAGAAGCGTGCTGGCTCTCAAACTGTTTTGCACCTCTTGCGCTCGGAGTGTAAATAAAATAACTCGTTATTCATCATCCACCTCTGACGACTCTGGCTTTGCCCTTCCCAGCCAGCCACCCACGCCCCATTTGATGCAACTGCCACCCTGCCTGTAATGCACAGGCGGCTAGCAAGCAGAAGTTCATCCAACAACAGCAGCCACCACGCCTGTGGTCGCGCAAGGTCTTTCCAGGACAGATCAGGACAGACTGCACCGTTTCGTGTCTGGAGGGTCCATTAAGTTCCAGATCCCCCCAGAGACCCCTGCTAAGTATACTGTGGGTATGTCATGATATGCCCCTAAAGCCCAAAGCCCTGTTCCAATTCCTTCGGCTCCTGGCTTTTAAACCCCGAGAGAACACCTTTATAAATCCTATGCGAGCCGTATTCGAAAAAGGCCTTCAAAATCTGAAGGCACCCTTTTTTGATTTTACCGCCGCGGCAAAGTTCGAGGCTATAGTCCTCCAAGCTCACTTGGCTGCTTGCCTGCGGCAGACCATCGGTTGGCGGACTAGGGCTTAAAGGCGAGTGGTCTAAGGGTGTAGGTGACAGTGGGGTCTAGGGTTTGAAGGTTTATTTTTTTTTTAACGTGCAATGGCGTCTTTCTGGTGCACAGCTTCAGAGCGTCGCCTGCCACACCTACGGGGCGTGCACTGTAGGTTTGAAGGTTTAAGGGCTTAGGGTTTACAGTTTGCAGGCGTTGAGACGTAGAATAGCATATGAGCCTTAGCAAGAAGAACAGGGCTTCTATGAAAAAAGGATTCCTAAGGAATTGTATTGGTAACTATTCCGGCGTCTATATTGCGTCTATATTCGGGTTCAGGGATCAGACTAAGGTTCTACCGTACATGAGTTCGACTATGAAGGTTTAGTGGGGCTCTTATAAGGGCATTAATTGCGTTAAGGGTTTAAGGCTTCACCGACCCTGGGGTTGCGGCAGAAAGGAATCCTGTGAGCACACGAAGCCTGAGGTCAAGATGTAGTCAATTCAGTGTCCGTTGGTGCAGAGGCATGTGCACTCGGCCACAGAATGTGTAGTTTAGGGCTTCCATAAACAGCAGACCACACAAATTGCGATGCCTGATCCGATCCTTGCAAAAGCTCGAACTCCGAAATTTGAACCAGGCCGTAGCAGATTGCCAGCACAGTCCTTTTCTCTCCAATTCCTTTGCCCTATAAACCCTAAATCCTGAACCCCTCAACTCAGGGTTCTTCTCGCCTCTGTTCCCGGACCAGCTCTTGGATCACCCGAAAAGTCATGATGGCACCTGGGGCCCGTAATCTCTGACCCTGAGCCCGAAACTCTAAAACCTGAACCCTGAGCCCTAAACTCCTAAACCCTGAGCCTTGTATCGTGGAGCTTGGGACCAGGTCCGCAAAACCCACAATAACCTAAGAATCCTATATGTGGGAGATATTTGCTCACAATCACAAACAGTGATAAACCTGATATCCTTATGCTTAAGCGGTCTCCTGGGCATCGTGGTGGTCGTGGTGGATGTTGTTGTCGCTGTCCGCTGTCCACTATCCGCCGTCGTGGTCGTTGATGCTGCTGTGGTTGTTGTCGGATTGTGTTGGTGGTGGCGGCTGGGTGGTTTGCTGCCGCCGCTGCTGCCGTTGTTGTTGGTGTTGTTTCTGTTGCTGATGCTGCTGCTGTTGACGTTGTTGCTGGTGATGCTTGTGATGCTTGTGATGCTTGTGATGCTGGTGATGCTGGTGATGCTGGTGATGCTGGTGATGCTGGTGATGCTGGTGATGCTGGTGATGCTGGTGTTGCTGGTGATGCTGGTGATGCTGATAATTCTGGTAATGCTGGTGGTGATGCTTACTCACGCTGGCGCTGGCACTGGCACCGCGCTGGCGCTGGCGCCGCGCTGGCGCTGGCGCCGCGCTGGCGCAGGGGCTGGTGCTGCTCTTGCGGCTGTTGCGGTTGTTGCGGTTGTTGTTGCCGTGGCTGTTGGTCATAGCTCTTCTCATTCTCAGTTCATCACCATCTTCCTTTTCAACATCAACATCATCATGATCATCAGCCATCAAGATCGACATCACCCTTGTCGCCGTCTACAACATGACAATTCCGCTGGTCATTCCGGACAGCAACGATGCAGCAGCAGCAACAGCAGCAGCAGCAAATCAACACCATCGGCAATAACTATAATAACTGAGAAAAAAGTACTTTTCAAGCTCACATTCTTGTTCGAAGCACGATGCCACAAATTACTGTCGCTTTGGGGTTCAAGCATTCAGGCCTTGCAGTTTGGGGATCTCCTATGGTGGGGCTCTTTATGGCAAAAAAGGGGGCACCAACCTTCGCTGCTTCACCAAGCAGCTTGCCACCGCCGCAATGCCTGCAGTGGCGAAGATGATCGACTGCTGAGTGGGCACCGAGTGCCCCCAGTGGAACTCATTTGCAAGCCTCGGCAGTCTTGGATGCGAGGACCGTGCTGCTGCTTCTTGACCGGGGATGCATGCCGAACCTGAATAGATGACGAGTGATTCGATCATGTACCCGAAAACCCACCCCAAATTTTTTAAGGCCCCTGAATTGCAGGAGCTTCGGGGTTTTTTTTGGTTGGAACCGTCAGAACGGAGGAGCTCCGGTCTTGGACCTGACCGTCCCGTTCCGGGGTGAGGGTCTGGGGTCTAGGGCAAACCCGGATGTCCCAAATGCCGAAATAACCCGAAATTCAGTGATTCGGGCTGAGCGGCAAAGCACTCTAAAACCGCAATCTTACACCCTCAGTTGTACAGCCGAAGCCCTCAAGCCTAAAACTTGGACCGAGAACCTTTCACTGCAAACCGTAAACTAAACCCTCAGCCGCGCGGCAAAGTGGACACACTCGTGATCATCACCGTCGCAGCGAAGAGCAACCAGATTTCGATCCTGCAGGCAGTTACGGTAGGGAAGCCCAGAACTTCAAGCATGAAAGCACAAAAAGCCCCCAATCCTCAACCCTGAACCCCTAAACCTATTAGCCTTCATAATTAGAATAAGGTTTTGGGGCCCATTATACTATAACTATATAAGAAGGAACCCCCAAAATAGTATAGGTAATTATTTAGGCCCCTAAAGTAAACCTCAACCCGAAACGCTCAACCTGCTGCCCAAAACCCCAAACGAAGCGAAGTCTCCAGACACTCTCCGGGCCTCAAATCTCCATTGAGTCCGGTGGAGGATCGCAGCAAGCTTTATTTGGGAGTTTCCGAAAATTCGGGGTACCTTACTTGGGGGTCCTTATTATAAGGATCCTACTATTTAGGGTACTATACTATGGTCCCCTATTCTCGGAAACTCCCATTTGGGGAAGTGGGCTGTTATGACCTCGAATAATTCAGCAGTTTTGGGGTACGTTATACTCACAATAAGTGTTGGGGTTTAGGGATGTCAGGACAAAGCCTAGATGAGAGGATCTTTCATGTAACCCCTCACCCTGGCCGAATTTGCCGAAAGCTCAGCCAAACATCAACCACTTGCTGCAGAAGGCTTTAATGGCCAGAACAAGTGTTTGGAGTGCTTTTCTAGCAAGCTTATTCCGATCTCTTTACTTCACTCTACTTCACCGGAACCCAGCGCTCCAGTTCCACTCCGGCGAGTGGTAAGGCTTGTAGCGGCAGTACAGAAACAGCGACACCGAAACCACAATGCCTGGCAAAGTCCAAGAGACTGCTTTGAGAGGCCCATTTACTTTTTATTTGTCGCCTCCTTTCCTCCTGCCCACTTCAGAATCTCAAGGTTCCTAGGGTTCAGGGTTCAGGGCGGATAACTGTTCTGAGGCTTTGGCTGCTGAGGGTTTAGGTTTTGAACAGCAACACAGACTGGATTTTTGATTATGCGACTGCACCTGCCGATCTCAGAAGCTTGCGAGACTTCTCCAAGCATTTCGGGCTTCGGATGTATAAACTGGTCTGGGGAGTCTTCAGCCTAAGGCTGGCATCGAGAGTCCGGAAGGTCGCAAGCCCAATTCAACGAAGAATCCGGCCACTTTGCCCACGGAGCCCCTTTCTCAATACTTGCATAGTCTGCTCGCCTAGGCAGCCCATCTGCAACGCTGGGGAGGAGTCGATGGGCAGCAAGGCGCCGATGAACGTGAAGAGCGTCTTCCTTCCACCAGGTTGAAAACATCGGGCCCGACAAGATCCACGCCACGCACACTGAACACTGGTGGGCAAAAGCGTATTTAAAACTGTTCACACCTATGGTCTTTCCTGTGCTAGGCCTTGTGGGGCCAAACCCCCATTGAGTGCACAGAGACGGCTTTCTGGGAGAAAGGCACTCTCTCCATCATGCGAGTGGAAACACTGTGATCTTCGACATGAGCTAGTGCTGAGATGGCGGCAAAATCGTGAATCCCACCACAAGATGGCAGCACGGCTCCTGATCAAGCGCTCCGTCTCGAAGAGCGAGTATCTGCGCTGGTACTTGCTGGTCAGGAAGACCACGTGGCTGGGTTTAGGATCCTGCCAGCCGCAATGTCACGGCTCGCGGTTAAGGCTTCGGAGAGCTTGACTAAAGGGAAGCGCCAGGCCTCAGAATTTAAGGCCTTTTTTCCAAGTTTCGCTGCTTACCATGCAGTGCCCACATGGGTAGTTGGTGCACAGTCGAAACCCTTGACCCTAAACTCTAAACCGTAAACCCTTACAGTTTGGGTGTGGAGTCGAAACCCTTACTGTAACCCCAAACTCAGCCCCCTTCGGGCTTGGAAGCCACGCCCGTTTCGTCGGGCATCCCCACCCTTCGCCCGCCTCGTCGGATCTGGAAAGGCTGAGCCTCGAGGCAGTCGGAATGAACGACTCGTGCTGAAATATACCGGGCCTGCAGAATTACTAGTATGATTCCTCAGGGTTCGTCACTGCATCTATCTATTCCTTAGGGCTCCTTCACATAGCCATGGGATATCCGGGGCTCCTTAATTATGGGATGTCTAGGGGTTCTCCCACGTGATGTATTTACAGTAGACTAGACTAGAACCTCCAAACCGCTACTGACCTCAAGCCTGAGACTTCCTGCCTGGCACGCTAGCCTGGCCTTCAACGGACTTAAGTAACCTGGCTGCCCAGAGACTCCAGCGCGCTGAACCCTAAACGCTCACGAGAACCCAAACACGATTCAAGAGAATCTCAGGGTCAAGGCTTAGGCTTCAGGGCGGTACAGACCCCGCCTAGGGCTATGGCAGCCCTGGCTTGAAGTTTCGGTTTTAGGGTTCCGGGGTGCAAGGTGCAGGGCTTGGGGTGCAGGATGTACGATGTAGAGTTTAGGCTCTAGGCTAGCAGTGCATGGCCTACAGTAACCTGAAACTCAACCTGCCACCAGCCTTTCAAGCTAGGAGTTTACGAATGTAATTGATGCATGGGAGTTTGAGATCGACCACAAACCTTCGAACCCCCTGGAAAACCATGAAATGCAGCGAAAGCAACTTCGAAACTCAGATGTCCCCAGGGCTGAACCCGAAACAGCTCAGCAATTGACCCTACAGCGCCAACGGACAAGGGGCCATGTCCAAAGAGCGGCGACCATAAACAGAATGAAGCCCCCCACCACCTCGAGCTTCAGCGCGGCTTGGGAAAGGCAATGGAGCTGGATAACACTAGCATCAGGACCGTGAGGGTATGTCGCTGTTGGCTTCACTGTCAGGGTATGCATCTATCCATCGATGTGGCTAGCTTATGGGTCTTTAGGTACATACTAGATGATTGTAGAAAATTGAACGATAGATAAATAGACAGATAGGAATATATAGACAGACAGACAGACAGACAGACAGACGGGTAGAAAGAGAGAGAGAGAGAGAGATAAAGCGAGAGATAGATTCGGATCGATTGCCAGGCATCTCAGCTCTTCTTGCATACCAAACCCAAGTCTTGAACTGAGGACATCCTGCAAAGCTAAGGAAGGCGGAACCCCCCACAAAACACAACATCGTCAACCACCCGAAAACTTGGGATCCTTCCAACTTTGCTGGATGCTCATGATGTCGTACATCTACGGCTAAGGCTTAGGAAGCGCCAGTGTCCCTGCCCGAGGGAATCTTAACGGCAGCCGTTCCAGCAACTTAAATGGATCCCTGCTGTCAATTTTCTGACTCGGCATCTCAAAGACCAAAACCTACACCCTAAACCCGAAACCCGAAACCCCTGCACCTGAACTCCTCCGCTGCCCCCCTGCCCAACCTGCGTCGCCACGGCGAGCCCGGCACTCCCAAGAAGGAAGGGGCACTGGAGGCCCTCGTCCCGCCGCAGGCGGTAGCCTGAGACTTCCGTAGCGTTTTCGCTCTTGGGGTCCTAGGGTCGACATAAACCACGACGCCTTACATCCCTCATCCGCCCAACACATCTCACCTTTCAGAACAACGAATCCAAGCCTGAGAGTAGGACTTGTCTACATTCGAAACCAGACTGGGAAACCAGGAAGCTTGCATTTTCGTGGCTTCGTGGGCCGCACAGATGGAGCTCGAGATGTTGATCGTGGGTGTTGGATTCAGGATTCGGTTTGTGCATGCTGAGCGTCGAGGCAGGATCTGGTGTGCGTTGGCTCTTTCAGGATCAAGCTTCGGTGCACGATGGAGTGTTGGCAATTCTGAGTCTTGGTGGTTCGATATGCTTCTGGGGATACCAGCTCGCTTACAATGCAACTGGGCCCCTGGCACACCAGATACTTCCCGAAGTCGGCAGCTATTGTGGGCAGGAAGCAGTTCATGCCTCCATCATGGCTGCACACTGCTTGCGGGCTAAGTCGCTCAAGGCGGGAGAAAATCTTAGCAGAGGAGTGGGCATGCGGGGAAAAAAGGACACACATGCGCATGTATACTACAGGCAGACAGAAAGGCAGGCACAGAGAGAGAGAGAGAGAGAGTGCCAGCTAGTCAGCTAACTAGCCAGCCAGCCAGTCAGATTAGGTATGCGTTTACATAGACGCATAAACATACCCGTATGCATATACACATACAACACATACATGCATGAATGCATAAATATGCGCATATAAACATGTACATACACGAACACATGCAGAACTGCACCCACGTATTCGTAACTACATATGTGTGTGTGTGTGTGCGTATATACATCTATGCATAAGTAGATATGTATGTGTGGATTGTATAGATGTATACGTGCATAAGGTCATACACACGTACATACATGAATAGCATAGCGTAGCACAGCACAGCGTACCACCATTCTATGCTATACCATGCCCTGCCATACCTTAGAATAACTTGCATGCATGCATGCATGCATACATACATACATTCGTCCATGCATCCATCCACACATGCATTCATGCATGCATGTACGTCGTACATAGGTGTCTGTAATTATTCATGTTACTAGGTCCTGCATATACACATCCTTCACCACCTTGGTTCAGCTGTTTGCAAACACACGAATGAGCATGCATTGCTCTTTTGCGAGCAGTCGTGATGCCCGGGTACACTCAACCGTAAGGCGGCTTAGGCCTGTTGGGTGTAGAGTTTAGTTCTAGACCATAGCTTCATGGTTAAATTAGCGGATAGATGCGCAAGCCACAAGAGTTTCTCGGATCAACGAAGCAACTCTTCGAATTTGATACTTGGACGGACAGCCCATTGCTCCATGCAGTACGGATTGCTGCGACCGAGAGCAGTTCCAGCTACTTACCCACTCAGGCCTGCGATGAGCGCAACACGAGAATCCTTCATCAAGGACAGCGATGATATGAGAGCGGCTGCAACAACCTTCAGGGTCGTTGGAGATTGATGCGTTAAGGCCCTAAGTAAGGCTCCTACACAGTGCAGCAACTCAAGTACCGGGTTGCAAGCCTAGATGGCCAGGCTCACTACTCACTACTCACAAAAACTCCTTGAAGTCGCAGGGTCACGCAAATATTCAAGCACAACAACCCCTGAAACTGTAGCCATAGTAACAGGGATAGTAGTGGGATCCAACTTTAAAGGACCCCACGAAGGATAGTAGGATCCTTCCTCTCAGGACCCCATAAAGGAGCCACAGTGGTATTAGCAATACAGCGAACACGCTTGTAGGAACCCTGAATAGAAGGAAATACCCTTACGCCTTAACGGAGCCACACGCATCCCCGGATTCCGGTTCCCAGGTCTCTGCGGACGAGCGACGACATCCAGCAGGTGAGCGCCCCATCTGACCAGGGTGTAGGGTTCTTTTTGCTTTGAGTTGGGTTGACTCATCCTTGCTGGGTTGGTTCAGGGTTTAGGGGTTAGGGGTTCAGGGTTTGAGTTTAGGTGCGGAGTCATCAGTTTTGCGCAGGTGAAACCGTACACCCACATCCATTGAAAAACTGAAGTCAAAGAGGCTCTCATCGAGCAGGAAATCCAGCGACCAAGCCACAAGGTCTTCTCGAAGCCGACGTAGGACAAGAGACACTGCGAGGAGGCGCTGCGTAAAGATCCTGGCAGTTTAGGGTCTATTGCTCAGCGTGATGCAGTCCGGGCAAACCTTGCATATCTCTGCAGCGGTTTCCAGACCTGACTTTCAAGCAGGCTTTGGGGTTTTGGTTTGGAATTAAGGGTTTAGGGCTTTAAGGTTAATGAATTTGGGTTTAGGGTTTTGGGGTTCAGGGTTCCCGAAAACTCCTTAAAACCCTGAACCCTCAACCCTAATTGCTGTAATCCGCCTTCTCAAACATGCATCCAGACCCCTTTGAGGACTGGCAAGACCAACTCGAAGTGTCATCGAGATGGGCCGCATGGAATCCCGCATCAAGGGTGGGGCGGAGCCAGGGAGGGTTGCGCAAGAGCTTTCATGGCCCAAAGCTAAACACGTCACTTCTTGAGCAACATGCGTGGTGGAAAAGGCCGTGCTCAGGATTGGATCTTTTAGCTTTCGACTTTGGCGACTGTTGTACTGCAGAATGCCACCACCCTTCAAAGACAGCTCTGCAGCAATATCCCTTCAGACCCCAAACCACTAGAATCCCAAACCTCAAAACTAAACCCTCAAAACAGTAGGTTGCGGATCAGGGTGCCCTAAAACTCCCAAAAGCCTGAACCCTACAACCCTAAATCACCAGAACCCCAGACCTTAAAACCTAAACCACCACTGAAAACAGTAGGTTTCGGATCCCCAGGATCTCCTTGTCCGGAAGCTGCCTCGGCCGTGTGCGCAGCCGCGTTGAAGAAGAAGTTCGCCTCGGCTCAAGGCTCCGACAGGGGGCGAAGTAAGGTGAGACAATCTTGTGCAGTACGATGCAAGACAACAGAACTGTATAAAATGTTATATGATTTGCAGCTATATAAAATACTGTAATGCAATTTAATACAATAGAACATAATGTAGACTAACACCAATACACTGCAATATAATCAATATAAGACAATACTGCAAGATAATAAGATATAACATTGTATAGTATTCATAAGGTTGTAGTGTACAGCACAATATAAGTATGGTCTCCAAGGGGAAAGCTCCGAAATGCCGGCTGGGCGACAGCTTCGCTTTTGATGTCCTTCGCTGTCTGGGTCTGCAACACGGCAGCGAGGATCCTGGGCGAGTCCGGATTCCGGATAACCCCGACACCTAAAAACTTAGGGTTTAGGGCTTAGAATTTGGGGTTAAGGGTTTTGATAACCCCAACACCTAAAGGGTTTTAGGGTTTAGGGCGGGTTTGGGGTTTGGGTTTATAGGGCTTTACGGGTTTACGCAGCCCGTCCAGCCGGTGAAATGCCGGCAAGCGTCGTGTTGGAGATGGTGGCAAAGGCCATCAGCTGGTTCAGGTAGATGCTGCTTTGCTTCAGGTCCCCAGCCTCAGCTTAGAAGCCGACGGAAGGTGCTTTAGGATTTAGGGGTTTAGGGTTTGGGGCTTGAGCTTGAAAGCTTTCGAGCTTTAGGGTGCTTTAAGGTCATGGGTTTTGGTGCTCTGGATGGCTTTAGGCCAGAGGTCTTCACAAGAAGCCCTGAACGCCGTCATGTCAAGCGTCCTTCTTGGCTCCAAGGGCGCTCAGAGCTCCGAGTGCGAAGAGGAAGGAGCGCTGAGACAGGAACGTGATCCACTGCAAGGCCTGCGCGAGCCCCAAGAGACTTCCACATCCCTTAACATGGAGCTCAATATCCCTGCATTATGAAATCCTTCAGAAGGTCTTTGCTGTCGTCAAGGTTAATGGATGGTCTTGAGGTAGCGAGAACTACATGCAACATCTTTCTGGTTGCATGAACCCTAATGGGTTTAGGGGGTTTGGGGTGCATGATAAGAATGTCGTGCCTGCACACGACGGTCTTTGCTGCAGGCAGTGCCTCAGCAGTATGTTGGAGGACTACAAGCCGTCTTGCCACGAAGATCAAGTTTCCATGTTGAGGCGGTGCTTCAGAATACAGCTGGAGCTTCAAAGAGCGAGAGGTGTCGGTTAGGAAAAACAAACGGTTGGAAGTTCGAAGGCGCTCGGGGCTAGGAGGAGGTGACAGCCGCTGCGAGCAGCAGGAATCAGCACGCAAAGCTGGACAAGGAAGGCTTTAGTCAGCTATCTTCCTAGGGGCAGTGCCTACTTGGTCTGCGACTTGATATGGCAACGTAAGGAGCATCGTACGAGTTCATCAACACGCTTACGCAATTCCGAGAAGCCAGATGTCTAGAATCTAGAAAACCAGGCCGCAACTCTCATGGCAAACATCAGATTCCCAACACTGCACTTCTGGAATTCTGAGCTGTGGTTGCATGCATCATCGAAGCACGAGTTTTAGCTGCCTGACATCGCCAACATGGTGATGCTAAAGGCGGGTTCGGAAGGTCTGCAAGCTTCAGACGATTTAATAGAGCCCAAAGCTTCTTTGTCCAGATGGGGCAAGGAGCACGAGAACACACTGCTGTCCGCGATGGCATGCTGATCGCTGCAGCTCGTGCAGCCTTGGCCCCGGTAGCCTTGCGATCTTTCGCTGACGGCTTCGTGATGTTCCAGCCAGGCTTATCTGTGCTTCAGATTCAGGGTCAAAAGTGCCGTGGCGAAGCAAAGTCACAAAATGCCCAAGTCAGAAGAACGACGTGCAATACGGTGGCTTATAGTTAGAATTGGGCTTTGGGGCATACTATTATGATAATGATAATCGACAGGTGATAAGGACACTCTTCAGGCTGTTACATTACCTCTGCAAGCCGGAACCCAAAGCCACAGTCGAACCTGAACCCGTTGGAGCTCAGGCAGCCATCTGCACACATTGCCACGTGCACCCTTCCGTGTGATACATCGCCCCCAGGGCAGGCAGCCTCAGGGATGGAGTTTAAGACTTCTTGGGTGTTGGGCCAAGTGAAGCGCCATAGGGTGCCGTGCACTCGTGCTCTACTTCTTGATAGGCACTTCGTGTTCGAGTGCACGGAGCACCGTCTCGTTGACATCCAGTCTTGAGGCTATTCTGCGACTTTGGGTGTTTGGTAGTAGGTCTTTGGCATCTCAAAAACCCTGCACCACAAACCCTTTTGGAACCCTTGTGGATGCCCTGTAAGCTTCCTGGAATCTAACATAGAATCCTAAAAACGGAACGCTCATAGAAGCGTCGTAGAAGCCTTAAATGGAACCCTAATCATGCCAGCCTCGTTGGGACAGTGGAAGCTGCGGTTGACGTCCTCTAATTTCACCATGAGCCCGGGCCTCAGTCTCTAGGGGCTTCTGCTTGCCTGCCTCCTCCTTTTGCGTGGGTTTGAACACTGCTCAGAAGACGGAATTTGTCAAATGAATGCTCGGAAGATGCTGCTGCCGCCGTTCTAAAGACTGCTTGGAAAACAAACGGTTTTAATGAAGCAGAGCTTTCCACTTAATTGACTGTTCTCTTTCGTGGGTCTGCCCTTGTATCGCCAATCGGCCAGGTTTGGACCCAACACCCAAACGCCAAAACCCAAAAGCTTCTAGTTGGTCAATGTATAGGACAGAGCACTGCATCTTCAGCTCGCTGGCCAGGCACTTGGAAGCCCCTTCGGGGCACCGACTGCACGGCCTGGAGGCGCACTTACTTGATATCTGAAACCTCCGGCACAAAACCGCTCACAAATACTGCTGGAAGTGGACCCGAAAGCCACTTCGGAGATGGAATGCTCCCACGGCTGGCGAGAACTATATGCTTCGTTCTGGACTGACATTGTGTTTTATGAGTCGCGGCGAAGCTGCACGTGTTTTAGTTTAGGCTTAGGGGCTTGGACCACACACGATTGAACAGCAAACCCAGGATCACAACAGCCTCCTTCCAACCTGATGAATGTCCCCATTCGATCTTAACACGGCAGGCCTTTTCGTCATGTTCAGAACCTGCGTGTCCCCTGGCCTGCATGCCTGGCGGGTCTTGTACGATCCTGTCTGTGACTTCTACAGGAAATTCGCGGTACGGTTCGGTTCTATGTCGAGTATCTGGCTACGACCCGCATTGTCAAGGTCGGCTTTCACCGACCTCAGTCGCAAAGAGACACGAACGGCAGGCATCACAAGATATCCTTGAAGATTTCTCCTGCGCGCCTGCGAAGTGGGTCTATAGGGCTCCGAACCCTGGGCTCTACACTGCAAGGGCAATGAAGGCCAGCGATACCAAGCAGCCGAAATCACGCAACTCTTCGAAATCCACCGACCCTGTGCCCAAAGGGCAAAGGAAGGTGGCACTTCTGGCGGCGGTCGCAGAGAACGCGCCTGGATGCGAATGCTTCTCGTCTGGTCAACTCAGGGCTGAAATTTCTGCAGTCAAAGCTCGAAATGCAGCCCAGCTGCAAGTGGAGGTGCTCGTGCAATTCATTACGTCGTCCTTGCTGCACCAGAACGACAGGAGATTTGGGTCGTGCTTGTAATCCCTCGATTGCATGACATGCAAATGCCTCCGAGCTTCGAGAGAAAGGTTATGCGCTGAGATGTAGCTGCCGGAGCCGGACTCCGTACTTAGGTGAGCGGAGCCGAGCTTCAACAGGCCTCCCGCGGCAGGATGCAACTCTTGAACCTGATCTTGAGACGACTGTCCTCGGGCTCCTGATGCAGAAGCAGCACTGGGACGAGTTAAAGCTTTAAAGTCCGGCACAAGGAATCTTAGAACACAAGGAGTAAAAGAACTCGAGCCGTGCGAGAGAGGAAAGGGGGAGCGCCAGACAGCCAGCCAGACAAGAGAGAGAGAGAGAGGGGATCGCTGTCGCAGGTAGCAAATAGCAATCGTGGAACACCTTGGAAAGCGATCGCAAACCCACTTAGAACGTTGCAACAGTTGCAAGCAAACCGGCAACAGGAGTGGATGGGCCGCTGCAAGGTGGCCAACCTTCTGCGATGCCTCAAACCCAAACCCTGAACCGTGCCTCCCGATCTCGGACTGCGCCAGGAATCAAGGCCGGGAGTGCCAGCGTTGCATATTTCACACAGCTATCTGGGTCGGGAACCCAATCTGGGAAATCATTCTGAAGGACCAACCCAAAACGCCAACAAAGCAAAAAGCAAGAGTTCTTGACCACACTCAGCTGTGTCCGAAACTGTGAGATGTTCTGGCCTGAGACTGCGATGTCGTTGACATTGGCTTCGCTGCCCCTCGACAGTGTGAGCTCCTGGGGCCAACTGCCATGATAGCACTTGCTGAAAGGCATGTGGTCCCCCATGCCGCTCGACGAGAGCGGCAGAAGCCATCTTGTCAAACTCACTCTCTCCCAACTAGTAGATATAACATGTAGCATGTAAAGGTTAATGTATTGCTTGTTCATATGTGACATATCAAAATTCATAAAGTATCTATTATGGATGTGCTGACAGCGTTAGGTTTACCATGTCTGTTGCCAGGCCATCACTTCCCTCATCTTTGCCTGGGCAAGAACCACTCTATGCCAACCTTCACGTCTGCAAGACTATGCTGACGTTTAGGCGCGTAGTTGTTGAAGTGCCGTGACATCCTTGATGCGTGAGAAAACATTGCACACTCACATTCGGCAGGCAAATCCCGTCCTCGATTAGCACTTCCGCTTCTGTCCCATTGGCTGCAATTGCAGCGAAGGCGGCAGCAGACACGTCAGCATTGCAGCGATCAAGAAGCAGCTTTCTAAACTGTCCTGAAAGGCCAACGTTCAGTCAGAGGGCTTCAATAGCCATGGAGAACCTTTCAGGCATCCCAGCGCGAAGTGGTTGGATGGTAACGCTGTTGTTGCTTCGTTCGACTTCTTCGCTCGCTTGTGAGGATTTCCATCACCCATATGGTTTAATGTCACTTTTGTTCGCTTCTTGCTTGGCTCAAGGATCCCCAGCAAAAGAGTCTCTTTGAAGGCTTGCCTACAAGCACTGGCTCCGACTGCTCCCTTTCGGCATTTGGACTTTACCACTACGCGACGAATTTCAGCTTCGGCGTCGGCCACTTGGGGGTTCGCTAGCCGCCATACAGGGTTTCCACCGCACACGTGCTGCCCAACGTTCCCAGTGTGAGTCACAGCCAGCTAAGCTTGGCATTGGACAGTCGCAGGATACTGCTGCAAAGCCGGATGACGAAGTTGCGACGAGTATGTCGATGGTGGGAAACCTCCTAGTCTGCGGTGCAAGGAAACGCATATAGGATGGTGGGCACATGTGGGTTTCGAGGCTGCCGTCCTTGGCCGGCATCTATGTAAAGCCCACCGCCGATGCTGCCGGCATTGCACACCTTCCAGTCTCCGCTTCTCTCTCCTCACTACCACAACCCTCCAGCAACTTCTGCCAACTATCATGTCTTCTCTCCGGCTCACACTCGAAGAGTTTCCGGCTAAGGTCAGTCAGGCTGGTTCTATTCTTTCAGGCCCGGCCAAAAACTCCGAAGCAGTGGCCCAAATCCAAAACCCACAACCCCCAAAACCCTGCATCCTAAACCCTAATCCTGCATCCAAAAGTAATGTTATGACCCTTGACCCTACACCCCAAAGCCCTAAAGTGCGGAACGCTCTCAACCACCCGGCCTCGAAAGCGAGCGAACCGCCGTGACGTACTGTGCCGCCCGTGGTGATACTCAGGCCGCCACCTATGCCCACACCAAACTGTCCCAGTACAAGCAGTACGTAGCTTTAGACCTTCTTCCGCCTCAGAATCAAACTTTAGAGGTTTAGGGTTTAGGGTTAGGGGTACTCCGTCAAAGGCCCTTGTCTGCAACGCACAACTGAAATACATAAAGCCTGGTATGTTAGCAGCCGGCATGGTCCATCACGCAGCCACGATTGGCCCAAGGCAGTTCCAAAAACCCTGCAAGAGCCTGGAAATCAGGAGTCCCCAGCCTGCACGTGCCCGGCATGCCTTGAAGCGCATGGAGCCATTGCCGTCGAGGTCTTTTGTTGCAACACCGCCTCCGTCCCCTTAGCAGCCAGGGACGCACAACGCTTTGGGGGGCACGGGGCTTCAATGAGTGCATTGAGGCCATGCCCTTGACCAACTGCCTCCAGTGCCCCATGCAACGCTTCGGCTTCCGACACATAGCCCAATCTGTTCACGATACTCATCAGCCTCCACTGCCAAGGTGCGATCTGCGGAGCAGTGCTCGAAGAGCACGGAACTCCCGGCTCTCTGTTCGTAGCCTTGGGCAGAGAGGCCGCCTCCTCGGTTCGCCAGCATGCTCTGGGTCTCCGAAAGAAGGGGACCCCGACCCTAATATGGTATCCTAAATCGTAGGATCCTTATTATAACTATAAAGGACCCAAAAATAAAGTAACCCCCTGAAGCTGCAGTCAGAGGCGATGTGTCTGTGTGGCCAGCGTGCCCTGGCAACAACCACTAAAATCCCTCCAAAAAGCTGAAATCTGAAGAGCCCACAACCCGATACTTACCATCAACCCCACACGCTGGAATCTGTTTTTGTTCTACACATTTGCTTGAACGGGTTGTTCCTGTCCTTGCATGCGCAACGGAGACGGCGTCGGAAGGTTCCCAGCATGCTCCCTCTGGCGACAGTCACAAGAACGCTGCTGCCCAGGCTCCATCGTCTGCCGCACTGCAGCTGCGGAAGATGGTGGGGCTGCTGGGTCCTTGTACAAAGTTTTCTTTCACGCGAGCACCTCCGCCGGCGCCACCTGGGAGACAACACGGGCTCAGACGCATGGCGTTGAGTTCAGTGCCCTTTCGCATAAAACGCCCACAGCACCTTATGGCCGCCCCAAGAAACTGCAGACTAGACTAGATCCGTGGGCAACAAGGAGGCGCATGGTCTTTCTGTGTCTTACCTGCCTGACATCCCTCATCTTCGAAGCTCTGCTCCGAAGAGCCCATGGCGCGTCGTTGCCGGATGCAACCGAGGCTCCAGACGTGCAGTTCTCGAAGGTAACCGTGCTTTCTGCTTCTTGGAAAAAGCTGCCATTGAGGGAGAGGCCGCCTCCTTGGGCCACCCAGCAGACTCAAGAATGCAGTCAGAGGCTCCAAAATGTTCCTGCAGCGGCCGCAGCCCAACCCCAAAATCTCCTTGAAAAACCTGAACTCTGAGGAGCCCGCAAGCCCCACACCCTCAGCTTATCAATCCCAGAACCTGAATTCTGCTACACGCGTTTGTTTGCATAATCTCTCCTGCTGAACAAGTGGCGCTTGCATGGCTCAGGTAGAGAGGGCTCTTCGCATACCCCTACTGGCGACAGTCACAAGAACGCTGCGGCCCAGGCTCCATCGAAATTCGCACTGCAGCTGCGGAAGGTGGTGGAGCTGTTGGGTCCCTGCGTGAAGTTTTCTTCCACGTCAGCACCTCCGCCGTTGCCACCTGGGAGACAGCACGGGCTCAGACGCATGGCGTTGAGTTCAGTGCCCTTTCGCATAAAACGCCCACAGCACCTTATGGCCGCCCCCTGAAACTGCAGACTAGACTAGACCCGTGGGCAACAAGGAGGCGCATGGTCTTTCTGTGTCTTACCTGCCTGACATCCCTCATCTTCGAAGCTCTGCTCCGAAGAGCCCATGGCGCGGAACGAGGTCTTCAACTCCCCCACACGTCGCTGCCGGATGCAACCGAGGCTCGAGAAGCCGTGCAGTTCTCGAAGGTCACCGTGCTTCCGGCTTTTTGGGAGAAGCTGCCCTCAGCGTAGAGGCCACCTCCTTGGGGCAGCCAGCAGACTCAATATTGCAGTCGGAGGCTCCAAAATGTTCCTGCAACGGCCGCAGCCCAACCCCAAAATCTCCTTGAAAAACCTGAACTTCAACGAGCACGCAAGCCATTGCCGGGTCGGTCCCGCTGCGCAAGTGGCGCTTGCATGGCTCAAGCAGAAGGCTCTTGACAGGCTTCCACTGGCGACAGTCACAAGAACGCTGCTGCCCAGGCTCCACCGTGTGCCGCACTGCAGCTGCGGAAGGTGGTGGAGCTGTTGGGTCCCTGCGTGAAGTTTTCTTCCACGTGAGCACCTCCGCCGTTGCCACCTGGGAGACAGCACGGGCTCAGACGCATGGCGTTGAGTTCAGTGCCCTTTCGCATAAAACGCCCACAGCACCTTATGGCCGCCCCCTGAAACTGCAGACTAGACTAGATCCGTGGGCAACAAGGAGGCGCATGGTCTTTCTGTGTCTTACCTGCCTGACATCCCTCATCTTCGAAGCTCTGCTCCGAAGAGCCCATGGCGCGGAACGAGGCCTTCAACTCCCCCACACGTCGTTGCCGGATGCAACCGGGGCTCGAGAAGCCGTGCAGTTCTCGAAGGTCACCGTGCTTTCTGCTTCTTGGGAAAAGCTGCCTTGATAGAGGTAGAGGCCACCTCCTTGGGGCACCCAGCAGACTCAATATTGCAGCCAGAGGCTCCAAAATGTTCCTACAACGGCCGCAGCCCAACCCCAAAATCTCCTTGAAAAACCTGCGCTCCGTCTGGCCCGCAAGCCCCACACCCTCAATCCCATCACCTGAACTACTAACGTACATTTGAAATGCGTTGGATTCCACTGAGCAAGTGGGGCTTGCGTGGCTCAAGTATGGAAAGCTCCCAGCACTCTCCCACTGGCGACAGTCACAAGAACACTGCTGCCCAGGCTCCATGTGTTGCCGCACTGCAGCTGCGGAAGATGGTGGAGCTGCTGGGTCCCTGTGTGAAGCTTTTCTGCACGCGAGCACCGCCGCCACCTGGGAGGCAACACGGGCTCAGACGCAGGGCGTTGAGATCAATGGCCTTCTGCATAAAACACCCGAAGCACTTTATGGCCGCCCCCTGACACCGCAGACCAGACCGTGGGCAACAAGGAGGCGCATGGTCTTTCTGTGTCTTACCTGCCTGACATCCCTCATCTTCGAAGCTCTGCTCCGAAGAGTCCATGGCGCGGAACGAGGCCTTCAACTCTCCCACACGTCGTTGCCGGATGCAACCGAGGCTCGAGAAGCCGTGCAGTTCTCGAAGGTCACCGTGCTTTCTGCGTCTTGGGAGAAGATGCCGTAAGTGAAGAGGCCGCCTCCTTGGGCCACCCAGCAGACTCAAGAATGCAGTCGGAGGCTCCAAAATGTTCCTACAACGGCCGCAGCCCAACCCCAAAATCTCCTTGAAAAACCTGCACTCTGTCTGGCCCGCAAGCCCCGCACCCTCAGCTTATCAATCCCAGAACCTGAATTCTGCTACACGCCTTTGTTTGCATAATCTCTCCTGCTGAGCAGGTGGCGCTTGCATGGCTCAGGTAGAGAGGGCTCTTCGCATACCCCTACTGGCGACAGTCACAAGAACGCTGCTGCCCAGGCTCCATGGTCTGCTGCCGCACTGCAGCTGCGGAAGGTGGTGGAGCTGTGGGGTCCCTGTGTGAAGTTTCTCTGCACGAACGCACCGCCGCCGGAACCTGGGAGACAGCACGGGAGCAGACCCGTGGCGTTGAGTTCAGTAGCCCGAAGAGCCCATTGCACGGAACGAGGCCTTCAACTCCCCCACATGTCGGTGCCGGATGCAACCGAGGCTCCAGAGGAGGCCGTGCAGTTCTCGAAGGTCACCGTGCTTTCTGCTTCTTGGGAGAAGATGCCGCGAGTGAAGAGGCCGCCTCCCTCGCCTCCTTGAGACTCGAGAATGCGGTCAGGGGCTCCAAAACGTTTCTGCAACGGCCGCAGCCCAACCCCAAAATCTCCTGAAAAAACCTGAACTTTGAGGAGCCCGCAAGCCCCACACCCCGAATATCCCTCAATCCAAGACCCTGAAATATGTGGCACAAGTGATTGCAGGGGCCGTTCGCTGAAGCAAGCATGAGCAGGGCTTGCGTTGCATCCACTACCACCAACAATCACAAGAACACTGCTGCCCAGGCTCCATATTTTCCCGCATTGCAGCTCCGGAAGATAGCGGCGCTGTTGGGGCCCTGCTCGAATTTTTCATTCACGTGAGCACCGCCGCCGCTGCCACCTGGGAGACAGCACGGGCGCAGACTCAGACCCGTGGCGTTGAGTTCAGTGGCTTTCTGCATAAAACGCCCAAAGCACATTATAAACAAACGACAAGGCACACACACACACACACACACACACACACGACCGAAGACCAGCCCCCCAACTTTGCTTGAACATGGAGCCCAGGCATGTGTTTCGGACCATCACGAGGAAACCCGAATCCGATGGTTCATGCATCTGCCAAGGTGCTTTTTGCCGAGCAGTGCTCGAAGAGCACCGCACTGCCGCTTCCCTGCTCGTAGCTGCCCTGGGTAAAGAAGCCGCCTCCTTGGAACACCAACAGAGTCTGAGTCTACATGTTCACATGTTTGTAAAAACATGCGAGCACACGAAATCCCCAAACACTGACCGCAATCCGAGACCCTGATTCTTGTCGCACGCTTGATTGCAGAAGCTGTCACGTTCCGCAGCTAGGGCTTGGGGAGGGATGTCGGACGATGTCGGACAGTTCTCAGCACGCTCCCACTGGCACTGGCGACGGCCACAAGAACACTGCTGCCCAGGCTCCATTGAATTTCGCACTGCAGCTGCGGAAGATGGCGGAGCTGTTGCGGCCCTGCGCGAAGGTCTTCTCCACACGTGCACCGCCGCCGTCGCCATCTGGGAGACAGCACGGGCTCCGACCCGTGGCGTTGAGTTCAGTGGCTTTCTGCATAAAATGCCCAAAGCACTTTAGGGTCGCCCCCTGAAACCGCAGACAAACCCTTCAACAGGGAAGCACATGTTCTTACTATGCCTGACCTGCCTGGCATCCCCGCATTTTCGAACCTCTGCCCCAAAGTGCCCATGGTCGGGAATTAACGCCCACACGTCGTTCCCCAGAGGCCTCCCAGATGCAACCGAGGCTCCAGAGGCCGTGCAGTTCTCGAAGGCCGCGGTGCTTTCTGCTTCTTGGGAGAAGCTGCCGTAAGTTCTGAGGCCGCCTCCTTGGGGCACGCAGCAGACTCCCAACACGCAGTCAGAGGCTCCAAATGCTCCAATCCAATATGTTATAATATGTTCCTGCAACGGCCACAGCTCCTCGAAAAATCTGAACTGTGAGGAGCCCGCAAGCCCCACACCCTTAGTTTAAAAAGGGTCTGGAATTAGTTTGGGATTTTTTTTTTTGGGGGGGTGCATTTTTTTTTTTTTTGGTGGTTTGCTTGGCCGTGTTGCATTGCCTTGCAGGGTTTAGGGTTTAGGGTTCTGTTCAGGTTCGACACGCAGGATCCCTGTGAAGGGTTCATCGGGGACATAGAAAATTTGCACCGCGCCACAGCGCCAGCGCTTCGACACGCAGGATCCCTCTGGAGGGTTCATCGGGAACGTAGAAAATTTGCACCGCACCACAGCGCCAGCGCTTCGACACCCAGGATCCCTGTGAAGGGTTCATCGGGGACATAGAAAATTTGCGCCGCGCCACAGCGCCAGCGCTTCGACACGCAGGATCCCTGTGGAGGGTTCATCGGGAACGTAGAAAATTTGCACCGCACCACAGCGCCAGCGCTTCGACACGCAGGATCCCTGTGAAGGGTTCATCGGGGACACACAAAATTTGCGCCGCGCCACAGCGCCAGCACTTCGACACGCAGGATCCCTGTGGAGGGTTCATCGGGAACGTAGAAAATTTGCACCGCACCACAGCGCCAGCGCTTCGACACGCAGGATCCCTGTGAAGGGTTCATCGGGGACACACAAAATTTGCGCCGCGCCACAGCGCCAGCGCTTCGACACGCAGGATCCCTGTGGAGGGTTCATCGGGAACGTAGAAAATTTGCACCGCACCACAGCGCCAGCGCTTCGACACGCAGGATCCCTGTGGAAGCTTCATCGGGGACGTTGAAAATTTGCACCGCGCCACAGCGCCGGCGCTTCGACACGCAGTATCCCTGTGGAGGGTTCATCGGGGACCTCCCCCCTTTGCAAACCTTTTAAATCCTTCACGATTGATTGTGTTTTTTTCTTCGCATCAAACCACCCTGACGCGTTGTTGTCTGGACTTCTCCTTCTTGTGTTTTGGCGAATACGTTTTTGTGCATCTTTCGTGCCTTTAGTGAGCGGGGAGTTTAGTCTAAAAAAGCGGGGGGGTTGGGGGGGGCGCAGCCCCCCCCATTTGCAAACCTTTTAAACCCTTCACGATTGATTGTGTTTACTTCGCATTAAGCCACCCTGACGCTTTGTTGTATTTACAAACCCTTTAAACCCTTCACGACTGACTGTGTTTTCTTCGCATTAAACCACCCTGACGCGTTGTTGTCTGGCTTTCTCCTTCTTCTGTGTTGGCGAATACGTTTTTGTGCATCTCTTCGTGCCAGTGAGCGGGGAGTTTAGCCAAAAAAAAAGCGGGGGGGCTTGGGGGGGGGCAGCCTGCAAACCTTTTAAACCCTTCACGATTGATTGTGTTTACTTCGCATTAAACCACCCTGGCGCGTTCTTGTCTGGCTTTCTTCTTCTTGTGTTTTGGCGAATACGTTTTTGTGCATTTCTTCGCGGCTTTTTAGTGAGCGGGGAGTTTAGCCTAAACAAAGCGGGGGGGTTGGGGGGGCGCAGCCACCCCCCCAGTTGCAAACCTTTTAAATCCTTCACGATTGATTGTGTTTTCTTCGCATCAAACCACCCTGACGCGTTGTTGTCTGGACTTCTCCTTCTTGTGTTTTGGCGAATACGTTTTTGTGCATCTCTTCGTGCCTTTAGTGAGTGGGGAGTTTAGTCTAAAAAAAGCGGGGGGGTTGGGGGGGGGCGCAGCCCCCCCCATTTTCAAACCTTTTAAACCCTTCACGATTGATTGTGTTTACTTCGCATTCAACCACCCTGTTTTCTTCGCATTAAACCACCCTGACGCGTTGTTGTCTGGCTTTCTCCTTCTTCTGTGTTGGCGAATACGTTTTTGTGCATCTCTTCGTGCCAGTGAGCGGGGAGTTTAGCCAAAAAAAAGCGGGGGGGCTTGGGGGGGCGCAGCCTGCAAACCTTTTAAACCCTTCACGATTGATTGTGTTTACTTCGCATTAAACCACCCTGGCGCGTTCTTGTCTGGCTTTCTTCTTCTTGTGTTTTGGCGAATACGTTTTTGTGCATTTCTTCGCGGCTTTTTAGTGAGCGGGGAGTTTAGCCTAAACAAAGCGGGGGGGTTGGGGGGGGCGCAGCCACCCCCCCAGTTGCAAACCTTTTAAATCCTTCACGATTGATTGTGTTTTCTTCGCATCAAACCACCCTGACGCGTTGTTGTCTGGACTTCTCCTTCTTGTGTTTTGGCGAATACGTTTTTGTGCATCTCTTCGTGCCTTTAGTGAGCGGGGAGTTTAGTCTAAAAAAAGCGGGGGGGTTGGGGGGGGCGCAGCCCCCCCCATTTCCAAACCTTTTAAACCCTTCACGATTGATTGTGTTTACTTCGCATTCAACCACCCTGACGCTTTGTTGTATTTACAAACCCTTTAAACCCCTCACGACTGATTGTGTTGTCTTCGCATTAAACCACCCTGACGCGTTGTTGTCTGGCTTTCTCCTTCTACTGTGTTGGCGAATACGTTTTTGTGCATCTCTTCGTGCTAGTGAGCGGGGAGTTTAGTCTAAAAAAAGCGGGGGGGTTGGGGGGGGCGCAGCCTGCAAACCTTTTAAACCCTTCACGATTGATTGTGTTTACTTCGCATTAAACCACCCTGACGCGTTGTTGTCTGGACTTCTCCTTCTTGTGTTTTGGCGAATACGTTTTTGTGCATCTCTTCGCGGCTTTTTAGTGAGCGGGGAGTTTAGTCTAAAAAAAGCGGGGGGGTTGGGGGGGGGCGCAGCCCCCCCCATTTCCAAACCTTTTAAACCCTTCACGATTGATTGTGTTTACTTCGCATTCAACCACCCTGACGCTTTGTTGTATTTACAAACCCTTTAAACCCCTCACGACTGATTGTGTTGTCTTCGCATTAAACCACCCTGACGCGTTGTTGTCTGGCTTTCTCCTTCTACTGTGTTGGCGAATACGTTTTTGTGCATCTCTTCGTGCTAGTGAGCGGGGAGTTTAGTCTAAAAAAAGCGGGGGGGTTGGGGGGGGCGCAGCCTGCAAACCTTTTAAACCCTTCACGATTGATTGTGTTTACTTCGCATTAAACCACCCTGGCGCGTTCTTGTCTGGCTTTCTTCTTCTTGTGTTTTGGCGAATACGTTTTTGTGCATTTCTTCGCGGCTTTTTAGTGAGCGGGGAGTTTAGCCTAAACAAAGCGGGGGGGTTGGGGGGGCGCAGCCACCCCCCCAGTTGCAAACCTTTTAAATCCTTCACGATTGATTGTGTTTTCTTCGCATCAAACCACCCTGACGCGTTGTTGTCTGGACTTCTCCTTCTTGTGTTTTGGCGAATACGTTTTTGTGCATCTCTTCGTGCCTTTAGTGAGTGGGGAGTTTAGTCTAAAAAAAGCGGGGGGGTTGGGGGGGGGCGCAGCCCCCCCCATTTTCAAACCTTTTAAACCCTTCACGATTGATTGTGTTTACTTCGCATTCAACCACCCTGTTTTCTTCGCATTAAACCACCCTGACGCGTTGTTGTCTGGCTTTCTCCTTCTTCTGTGTTGGCGAATACGTTTTTGTGCATCTCTTCGTGCCAGTGAGCGGGGAGTTTAGCCAAAAAAAAGCGGGGGGGCTTGGGGGGGCGCAGCCTGCAAACCTTTTAAACCCTTCACGATTGATTGTGTTTACTTCGCATTAAACCACCCTGACGCGTTGTTGTCTGGCTTTCTCCTTCTTCTGTGTTGGCGAATACGTTTTTGTGCATCTCTTCGTGCCAGTGAGCGGGGAGTTTAGCCAAAGAAAAAGCGGGGGGGCTTGGGGGGGGGCAGCCTGCAAACCTTTTAAACCCTTCACGATTGATTGTGTTTACTTCGCATTAAACCACCCTGGCGCGTTCTTGTCTGGCTTTCTTCTTCTTGTGTTTTGGCGAATACGTTTTTGTGCATTTCTTCGCGGCTTTTTAGTGAGCGGGGAGTTTAGCCTAAACAAAGCGGGGGGGTTGGGGGGGGCGCAGCCACCCCCCCCCAGTTGCAAACCTTTTAAATCCTTCACGATTGATTGTGTTTTCTTCGCATCAAACTACCCTGACGCTTTGTTGTATTTACAAACCCTTTAAACCCCTCACGACTGATTGTGTTGTCTTCGCATTAAACCACCCTGACGCGTTGTTGTCTGGCTTTCTCCTTCTACTGTGTTGGCGAATACGTTTTTGTGCATCTCTTCGTGCTAGTGAGCGGGGAGTTTAGTCTAAAAAAAGCGGGGGGAGTTGGGGGGGGCGCAGCCTGCAAACCTTTTAAACCCTTCACGATTGATTGTGTTTACTTCGCATTAAACCACCCTGACGCGTTGTTGTCTGGCTTTCTTCTTCTTGTGCTTTGGCGAATACGTTTTTGTGCATCTCTTCGCGGCTTTTTAGTGAGCGGGAAGTTTAGCCTAAAAAAAGCGGGGGGGTTGGCCCCCCCCATTTGCAAACCTTTTAAACCCTTCACGATTGATTGTGTTTACTTCGCATTAAGTCACCCTGATGCTTTGTTGTATTTACAAACCCTTTCAACCCTTCACGACTGATTGTGTTTTCTTCGCATTAAACCACCCTGACGCGTTGTTGTACGACATAAGGAGGCAGTATTCTCGAAGCTAGACAGTATAAGAAGTTGCGAAGTGAAAAAGCCAAGAAGCCGAAAAGCCAAGAAGCCAGAAGCCAAGAAGCCAGGAAAGCCGAGAAGCCAAAAGCCCAGAAGCCAGGGAATCCAAGAAGCCAGAAGCCAAGAAGCCAAGCGCGCACACAAGCCAAAAAAAAAAATGCCAAAAAACAAAAAAAAAAAATCCCAAAATAAATACACCTCCGTTTAAAAATCTTATCTCCTTGAAAAATCTGAACTGTGAGGAGCCCGCAAGCCCCACACCCCGAATATCCCTCAATCCAAGACCCTGAAATGTGTGGCACAAGTGATTGCAGGGGCCGTTCGCTGAAGCAAGCATGAGCAGGGCTTGCGTTGCATCCACTACCACCGACAATCACAAGAACACTGCTGCCCAGGCTCCATATTTTCCCGCATTGCAGCTCCGGAAGATAGCGGCGCTGTTGGGGCCCTGCGCGAAGTTCTCTTTCAGAAAAGCACCGCCGCCGTCACCTGGGAGACAGCACGGGCTCAGACCCGTGGCGTTGAGTTCAGTGGCTTTCTGCATAAAACGCCCAAAGCACCTTATGGCCGCCCCCTGAAACTGCAAACTAGACCCGTGGGCAACAACGAGGCGCATGGTCTCTCTGTGCCTTACCTGCCTGACATCCCTCATCTTCGAAGCTCTGCTCCGAAGAGTCCATGGCGCGGAACGAGGCCTTCAACTCTCCCACACGTCGTTGCCGGATGCAACCGAGGCTCGAGAAGCCGTGCAGTTCTCGAAGGTCACTGTGCTTCCGGCTTTTTGGGAGAAGCTGCCCTCATCGAGGTAGAGGCCACCTCGTTGGGGCACCCAGCAGACTCAAGAATGCAGTCAGAGGCTCCAAAATGCTCCTGCAACGGCCGCAGCCCAACCCCAAAATCTCGTTGAAAGACCTGCGCTCCAAGCCCCACACCCTCAACTTATCATTCCCAGAACCTGAACTGTGCTACCCGCCTTTGATTGCAGAGTCTCTCCCGCGGAGCAAATGGCGGGCTGCATGGCTCATGGAGTCCCAGCACGCTCCCACTGGCGACAGTCACAAGAACGCTGCTGCCCAGGGTCCTTCGTATTTCGCACTGCAGCTGTGGAAGATGGCGGAGCTGCGGGGCCCCTGTGTGAAGCTTTCTTTCACGTGAGCACCGCCACCGCTGCCACCTGGGAGACAGCACGGGCTCAGACGCATGGCGTTGAGTTCAGAAGCCTTCTGCATAAAACGCCCGAAGCACTTTATGGCCGCCCCCTGAATAACAAGGAAGCGCCTGGTCTTTCTGCGTCTTACCTGCCTGACATCCCTCATCTTCGAAGCTCTGCTCCGAAGAGCCCATTGCGCGGAACGAGGCCTTCAACTCCCCCACACGTCGCTGCCGGATGCAACCGAGGCTCTAGAGGCCGTGCAGCTCTCGAAAGTCACCGTGCTTTCGGCTTCTTGGGAAAAGCTGCCGACAGCGTAGAGGCCGCCGCCTGGGCACAAGGAAGCCCTGGCTTGGAATGCAAACGCTTTAGGGCGAAGGGTCTCCAATCGACAGTGACATGAGAAACGATCTGAAGGCTACTTCAAGTCTCTTTAAGGGGAATCTGTGACCCTCTTGAATGCAGGGTCTTGCCGGCAAACCACTCCGAATGGTTACGCCCTCGGCTTGGTCGACCGGTTTATTGTCTACAGGGCCGGCCTCCTGATGCTCTGCAGTTCTCGAACTTGACGCTGCTGTTGCTGGCGATGAAGTTTTGCTGGATGGCCAGAGCTCCTCCTTTTCCATCCTGGCCACTACGAGCATGAAAATCTCAAACCCAAACAACGCTTTGTTCTGCACGCAAAGTCTGTTCGGCTGCGATTGACGTGCATCCCTGGTCAGGCTTTGTCGCGTCGTTGTAGCATTGCTTGGCACGAGAACTGAGTTCTGACAAAGCAGAGTGGGAAACCACCACGCAGCAGACCAAAATGCAGGCCTGCTTTGCCGTATACCGCATGCCGTCCCGTACTGATGTTGCTTGTTAACGCGGTAATGTTTTTGTTGATGATGGCAAGCATGCCATGCTGTCGCATGCATGCAACAATCATGCCCGGCGATTCGTAGCTCTTTCAACGAACATCTGGCCGGAAAAGCTGATGCACACAAACCTTTGCCATTTGCCATCTCAGACTGCACAGTTACTTTGAGGTCGCTCGGCGACATATCGGCAGATGCTGGCCATGCCGGTGTGGCATTGGCAAGCACGGAAATTGTTCGCAGAAGAAGACCGAATATCACCAGCCCTTCAAATTGGGACGCTATCGTGGTGCCGTGCATTGCCGCTCCAGGACGAGTGTCCGGTATGGCGGGCTGCAGCAGCAGGACCAACCAGCAGTCAAGCACACAGGCAATGGCAAATGCTCTAACAAGTGGATCTGGCATTGCACCAAATGCTAGATCATATGGTCTTCGCCATAGATACATCCTCGACATCAAACAAGATGAATGTTTGATAGGACTAGCAACGACTTATGCTCTTCACATTCGACACTCTGTTTTGACTACGCAGAGAGAAAACCCCGGCTGGCCCACAATTTGCACTCCAAGATTCCTGCTTCGTTTGCATGCGAACACGGTTCGATGCCCTTGTTTGCAAAACGGGTCTGGCTTGACTGCCGACTCATGAGTCTGAGTTTAGGGGTTGGGGTCCTAGTAGAAGCGTGTTCGCAGTTAGTGGGGTTTGAGGCCTCGGCTTCGTAGGTTCAGGGCGTTACATGTTCAGCATGTGTTTGGAATGTCCCAGCCTGCATTCTGTTTCTGCAGCCCACGAAGCTGGCGTTCGCGGCAATCACCGTCATCTTCCCGCTCACATTGATACCTTCATGAGGGCCGCAAACCCGAACTGCTGCCCCTGACTCTTCCTGCTGCCCGAGACGCAGGGTCCGTCCAGCTCCTGCTCCCCCATGATCTGTATCTCACCCGTCAAGACCAAGTTGCCTGTCCCATGCAGACATTGTCTCAGTTCTCCACCCTTCTCCGAGCATTCACCTTTCGAAGTTTCGAAGCGCCCAAAACACGTCAACGACAGGATTCCAGTACCCGCCGCAGAAAGTCACGGGTGCCTTGGAAGGTCAGCGGCTCCTTGAGGGTCACCTCACAGGCAAACGCAAAGGGAGAAAGGAGGAGGTGGCATTCGGTCCTCGGGATGCAAGCGAGGCTGGAGGTAGATCATGGCAAGTATGAGAGATTCGTGGATGAGCTTTTTTAAGGCTGTTATAAGTTCGCTATCAACTTCCCGGCCTGCAGCCCTGGCTGCCCATGCCAGGTGCAACTGGTGCTGAAGAAGCGCGTCTCGTTAATGACCTGAATGCATGTTCGAATCCAGAGCACGCAAGGCTGGCTGTTGCAAATTCCAGCATTACCAAATGATACTGCAACCGTCAAGAGCTAAAATTCCACTCAAGCACAGCCCTGCGACGTGGCTGCCATTGCGCGGAAGTCCATCGCAGTGAGAGTATGCGGCCTGGGATGCACAGCAGCTCGAAAGAAGTCCAGGGCTCCAAATGGCGTAAAGACGTTTGGAGATCAACATGCGTAGTGAAGACATGCAAGGCCTCAAGGCTGCTTGCTCTTGCGGCTTGTGGCGAATGCTACATGGTTGGAGAAGTGTCGCCATGAGAAGTCGAAACGGCTCCGCTTCTCCTTGATTTCGGGTGGCGTTGAAAGCCGCTACATGGCATAAGGGCCTCTTTAACTTTTTCTGTAGCATTCGTGAACTCTGAACCCGCAACCGCAAGCAATGCGGACAAGCGACTGAGCCGCCTTCCAGAAAAGCAGTGCCCGCCTCGACCGGTCAGGCGAGCCCTAGCTTAGGGTTTCGGGTTTAAGGTTTAGGGAAGTCTGAGGGGCTGTTGAATACAGGGTGGATGATGCGTGGCATGTTTGTGCTTTAGCTTGGTCCAATCCGAGAGAGCATGTGCCCATTCCTACCTCGAACCCACGGATCCCGTGTCCCAAAATCCTACGAAGCCCTAAACGCTAACTCGGAGCATACGCACCGCTTTCGACAGCACCGGAAGAGAACTGCAACGACGACCTCGACAGGAGCCGCCTCACGCAACCCAGGCTCGAGGTCTCGGGACCACGAAGCCTTGGTCCGGTCGCAGCTGAAGGCTTCTGAGCCTTCTGGGGCTGAGGGCCTCTGTTCGTAGATCAAGCCCTACGGACACATGTGCATACCTTTTCGACCAAGATCGAATTGTTCGGAAGGAGTTTCGTGGTCGAAACCTCGAAGTTGGAGCCTGCGCTGCAGGCACTTTAATAACTGGAAGAGCCGTCGACGGTGTTCACGTAAGCTTGTTCACGATGGTTCTCGGGGTTATGGGGAAGTACACAGATTGTAAAAGATGTTCGACTGTTGAGTTAGCCGAATACCACCAAAATGCGCCTCAGGAAAGATTGCAGAAAATATGAAATCTACATTGAGCATGCATTGAGGCTGCCACATTCGAGAGCCCGCAAAGGAATCCCTGAGACGTGCATTCAAAATAACTGCATCTGCTGCTCCGAAACCCGGACCTTTATCCGAGGAATCCTCCAATCTGGAGTTCTCAAAGCTATGGCGAGAACAAATTCTGCGTCTAGAGATCGGAAACGATCTAGCCAGCTTGTCCAACAGCTGCAAGCCCTAAGACCCTCAAAAACAGTGACAAAAGAGGCCTTGGCAATCGGGCGAACATCCAGAGCCGCCACCTGCGCAGCCGCGCTGAGCTTTCTGGGCTTACCCAGTGCCTCCAAGGACCTTATAGTTAGGGCCCTAGACCCCTTAAGGACCTAATAATAAGGTTTCTGGAAGCCTTGGGTTAGGATCTGGAGACTTCCTTCTCGACCACAGGCAACCGAATACCTGATGCGCACATCCACAAGGCCAGGATTGAGGTTTAGAGTTGAAAGTTTAGGTTCCAAGATGACCCCGTAACCCCAAACCCTAAACCCTGAACCCTAAACCCCATAAGATCTCAAGGGAGCTGATGGGCTCAGAGCTGAACTTGGGACGGACGGCCGTCGGCCTCTTCTTCCCGGGAGTTGCGCACGGCGCCACCGGTGATGCACAGCCCTGGGGAGGCGCTTCTGGGCTACTTGGAGGATCATGGGACTTAGTACGTAAGGTTATAAGTACCTTAACTGGGGTTATAAGCAGTTATAAGTAGAGTTACCCTAGATATAACCTTAGTTACTAAGTCCCATGATCCTTTAAGTACGGGTACCGGGTGGCTTGCAAGGAAACAGCTTCGGTACGACCTTCGTCTGGATTCTCGCACAGATCAAGCCAAGGCTCCCAGAAGGACCGTGGCGAGGCTCCCGGCGCGGGCCATGAGCCAGAGACATGGAATGCGCCCGCTGGCTTCAGGCCGGCGAGCTTAGAAATCAAACAACGGAGCCATGAGCTCTCTGGCTGGGAGCCAGGGCTGTGGCTGCGGCACAAGTCACGCCTTTACCGCACTGCTCCAGTTGAGGCTAGCCTTTTCATCAACCCTATGCACAACAACTCCTCCATCCTTATGTTTGACTCTGTGAAAATATGACTCCGTTCGTTTCTGTAAATATCTCCTTTTCTATGCAAGAGAGAGAGACAAGAGCTGTGTCGCGTGGTTGCGAGGTCTTACGTCCACAGCATGAACGCAGACGAAGGCCTGTCTTTTCTCAGAAGCGTGCTGGTTCTCAAACCGTGTTGCACCTCTTGCGCTCGGAGTGAAAGCAGAATAATTCGTTATTCATCATCCACCTCTGACGACTCTGGCTTTGCCTGCCCCACCCAGCCACCCACGCCCCATTTCAGCCTCTGAAACCTCGACGTCGACCTTTCCAATTGCACCGACCTTTGCCTTTGCCAAAACCTTTTCCTTTACCTTTTCCTCTACCTTCAAATCCGAAACCTTTCCCGAAGTCCTTTCCACCGTTCTTGCCTTTACCTTTACCTTTGCCTTTACCTTTACATAGCCTTTGTAACCTTTCTTACCGTTGTACCATGCTTGGTTGATGTCCATTGCTGCAAGACCACCATGATCCTCACCTTTGTCAATCAAGTCTGTAGAAGTCCTGTGAGGTGTTCTTTGTTGAGCTGTTAAGCAGTTGGTCCAACGTTCTGTTGACTCATAGGTAACAAGGTACTGACGAAGGGCTGTGTACTTGGTCTTCTCGTCAAGGTTCAGCAACAGGTGCCTTTTGACATCAGGTTTCATTCCTTGGATAAGGGTAGACACTTTCAAGTTCTCTTGTACCTTTTCTCCTGTCGCCTTCTCGCAACGCTCGATATGTTCCTCATATTCGAGGATGTTCTCAGCAATTCCTTTGTTGTGAGCAAACCTGTAGTCGAGGATGTTGTGAAACAGTTCCAACGACCTTGCACGGTGTGTTGGCTGATATTCCTTCATCAACATACGGTAGGCTTCCATACCGTTTTCCTCTGCTACGTGCTTTACAACACGGTAGGGCCTTCCTTTGGTGTAAGAACAGAGTACGCTGTACAGGCGTCGGCTTGCTTCCTTGGCCTCTGCTGACATTTCCTCCATCTTGACCATCTTGTCATCCTTCAAGTTCCTTTCAACGGTATCCATGATCTTGACCATATGGGAATCCACTGCTCCAAGCCAGATCCTGATCCGGTTCCTGAACTCTGTCCATCCACTCTTCCCTTCTTGCCATGTTCCTGGGGAAAATGCTTCAGGGGCTTTGATCAACTTATGTAATTCCACTTCTCCAGGCTTCCGTTCCTTTACTGCTTTCTCCAGAGATGCTCCTATCTCCTCAAGCGTTGTTGCTGCGTTCGTGTGTGCATCTGCCAGCGCTGTTTGCGCGGCTTTCTGCGGTTCCTGCACTGCTGTAAGTGTTTCCTGAAATAATTGCGCAAGTCCTGGACTTCCTGACGCTGCTGAGCTCCTGATTTCCTGTGCTAGTGTTTGTATTCCTTGCAACGTTTGTGCATTGATCTCTGCAAGCTGCTTCAATGCATCCTCCTCGCTGCTTCAAGTTTGCTGTACACTAGTGCTGCTAAGAGTAGTGACTTGCACTGCTTCCTGCTCACTGCTCTGGCTCTCCTTTCTCCTCTTGTTTTCCTTTGGTGCTTTGAGCTTCTGCTGGCTTCTGTGAAAAACACATTGAATAGAACGCAAGGGTGATCCAAGTAATCAGTCCCATTGGGGTTCCTAAGAACACTGCTATGCGAATTCCTTGAAATACAACTCTGTTGGAAATGACTTCCTGAACTATTTCATGCACGACGTCGTGAAACTTCTTTCCTACGCTTGCTAGCTTTTCTACGAAACTCTGAACATGTTCCTGTACAAACTGTCTCAGTATACTTCTCCTTGTTGTTTTACTAGGTACCTAGGGCCGTAGCCTGACTCAAGGCTCTCACTCTCCTGGTTCTCGGTGTTCTGGTTGCCGTTCTTGTTCTCTTTCGTGTAGTACCCGCCGGTCACGCCAAAGACGCTGCAAAGCTCAATCATCGCATGGTTCGCGCACAACATAGCATACGGTAGCATCACTTTTCCTATCTGCATGTAGTCCTTGATCGTGTACGCGTTCCTGTTCCTGATCGTGTTCACGTTGGCGTCGTCGGGGTTCACGATGCACGCGTTGTGGTTCCACTGGTAGTAGTTCTCGAACTCCACGTAGTACGTATTGGGCCTTCCATGCGTGTTCGTCCACACGGCGATGAGTTCACTCTCGTGGCTCTCTTCTTCTTGTTCCTTGGTTCTTCTTCCACGGCTCACTTGCTTGAAGGTTTGACAATCTCCAAGGGCAAGTTCTTCCTTGACCTTTCTCTCACGGCTGCCAAGGGCCTGCCACGGTGTCACTTCCACACTTAGGGTTCCTGGGCTCATCATCCACCACACAGGCTGCCAGACCGTAGCATCTCACGTTCCTGTACTCTTTGTTCTGCACGTGTTAAAGAACGGGCTTCACTAAGGGTTCCTACCCACAAAGACTGTCGGACACTTTTGTTCCTGGGCACGGTGTGTCCTGGGGTCTCGAGCCTGCACGTCGCGTGTGCGTGACGGCTGTTCCTGTACATTAACTGTACTGCACTAGCTGTGTTACTGTTCCTGGCAGAATGTTTAACACCCCGCCTTCGGAGTTAGCGAAAGTTCCTCGACTGAGGTGACTCCGACTTTTCCTTGACAAACAGTAAACACTGCAGTTCCTTTTCACTTGCAAAACAAACACTGTTCCTCATCGCAAACGTATGCGCACGTTCACTCGCAATCCTCTCCAAGGTTGCTCGACTGTACAAAAGACGTTCCTGCACTTTACCTAGATCACCACAGAAACAAAAAGGGCTGTGCCACGGTTCCTGTGTCCTGCTGCTTCTTTCCTCGGCTCTCTGGCCTCAGTACTGCTCGCGGTTCCTTTTCCTTCACTGGAAGTTCACTTTGCCTTCCTCTTCGCTGTCTTTAGCTTCCTCTTGGTCGTGAAGCTGTTCCTTTAGCCACTCTTCTTTCATCTTTGCTTGCGCTTTGCACTTCTCCTTTCCTTGCTTGTCCTTTGACGCTGCTTTCCAACCTGTTTCCTTTGATCCTGAATACCAGTACCACTGTGCCTTGGATTCGTTCCACTTCCACTGGTACTTCCTGTTCTGGAAACTGTAGACTGCAAACCAGTTTCCTTCAAACTCTCCTTTTCCTTTTCCTTTCATGAACGATGCTTCGTTCACTGGTCCTTTGGCGGACAGTTCTGGGTCGTCCTTGTCTTCTTCCTTCTGCTTGTGCTGTGTGACGTTCGGTGGCTCCTTTCCTGTTGCTTTTCCTGTTCCTTTTGCTTCTGGCTTTTCCTCTTCCTTTGCTGGTGTTGTGTCAGGTTCTGTGGGTGCCTGCGACCCGGCTGCTGATCCTCTGCTCTCAAGCTCCTGTGTAAGGCTTGCAATCCTTTCTTTATCCTCTTTGCGTTCCTTCATCATCTCCTTCATCATTTCTTCCAGCTTCTGGATCCTGTCTCCTTCACCTGATCCTGTTGCTGTTGTTGCTGCTGCCTTCTTTTCTGCTTCCTTCTTGGCAATGTACGCTGACGCTGCCTTTTGATCTTCCTCTCTTTTCTTCCTGGCCTCCTTCTCCTTTCTTTTCTTCTCCTGCTCCTTTCTTTCCTTTTCCTCTTTGGCTGCTGCGGCTGCTGCTTTCTCTTCTTCCTCCTTTGCTGCTGCCGCTTCGTTCTCCTCTTTTTCCTTTGCTTCTCTCTCTGCTTTGGCTTTGGCTGCTGCTTCTACCTCTCGCCTTCTCTCGGCGGCTGCGGCTGCTTCCTGCCTTGCTGCTTCCTTGTCTCTCTTCTCCTGTTCTTCTGCTGCCGCTTCCAGAATCAACCTTGCTTTGGCAATTTGCTCCTCTTTTGCCTTCTTCTCCTCTTCTGCTTTTGCTTTTGCTTCTCTTTGTTCCTTTGAGATCCTGTCCTGTTCTTCCCAGTATTTGCGATCATCTTCATCTCGAGGTCGAAATCCTGTGCTTTCTGCTCTTGCCTTTGGCTTTCCTTTTCCTTTTCCTTCCTTCTTTCCTTTTGTTCCCTTCTCGTGCTTGTACGTTTAGTCCTTGTCGACCCACTGCTTTTCTCCTGTAACTCTGTGTTGCCTGTAGATCTCGCCGTTCTCGGAGTATTCCTTCCATTCGCTGGCGTAGTCGTAGGGGTACGGAAAAAGCTTCTTCTCCTCTTCCTTTTCCTTGAGTCTTTGCTTGCTTTTGGCGTTGATCTCCGCGATCTTCTTCTTCCTTCTCTCTTCCTTTGCTTCCTCACTTTCTTCTTCCTCTGCTGCTGCTGCTGTTCCTTCATCGGGGTACTCCCCGGGATCTTCTCCTCCAACGTAGCTGCTGACGTAGGCCTCATTCTCGTTCTCGTTGTCCTGCTCTCGTTCCTGGATGCCCTCGAAGTAGCCTCGGTCCGAATATTCTTTCCTTTCCTGGGACGTAGGTGACGTAGCTCTCGACGGTGCTGTTCCTTGTCCGTGTCCTTCACGACGTAGTTCACCTTCTAGTTCTCGGTCCTTGGCTTCTCTTTTCCTTTCTTCTTCCTCGTCTTCTTCTTCCTCTTCTTCCTGTTCCTCTTGCTGCTGCTCGTAGAAGTCCTGCATCATCTGGTTCAGCTGTTCCTTTACGGCGTCACATGTACCTAGGACGAAGGCCATGTGTTCCTTGACCTGTTGCCGGTCTCTGTCGTTCTGTTCGGCCATTTCCTGAACCTGGTGCTTGACGTCGTAGATTTGTCCTGTTAAGGACTCCACACAACCAGCCACGTGTTCCTGGCTTTTGCGCAAACGCGCAGCTTCCTCTGTGTTCTTCCTGATCGACTCCGCGATCAAGTTCCTTTCTTCTGAAGCGTTCCTTAAGGCGGT